GGTCAAGGTCAGGAAGAGGCAAAGGTTGCAGCTGCCGACTCTCCCCTGTCTGACTAACATCAAAGCAGCCTCCCTGTTCTTGGCTGCTTTTTGCAGTTGGCTGCAAACCTTCGCTCGGAGCTGGCTCATTCCTGACACTTGCTTAATAAAGTGGCTCTTGTGAATGGTCCAAAAATATGCACAGTGTAACCTTAGACCTAGGGGACGCTGATGGCGCTGTGGGTTAAACCACAAAGCCTAGGACTTGCCGAAGGTTGGCGGTTCGAATCCTTGCGACGGGGTGAGCTCCTGTTACTTGGTCCCTGCTCCTGCCCACCTAGCAGTTCGAAAGCACGACAAAGTGCAGGTAGATAAATAGGTACCGCTCCGGCGGGAAGGTAAACGGCATTTCCATGCGCTGCTCTGGTTTGCCAGAAGCAACTTAGTCATGCTGGCCACATGACCCGGAAGCTGTACGCCAGCTCCCTCAGCCAATAAAGCGAGATGAGTGCCGCAACCCCAGAGTCGGCCACGACTGGACCTAATGGTCAGGAGTCCCTTTACCTTAACCTTAGACCTATAAACTCACCTCACCTCCGATTGCAACTTTTCCTCGGTGCATCATCATCATTTTATTATTTATACCCCACCCATCTGGCTGGGTTTCCTCAGCCACTCTAGAAAATTATGCTTGATTTTTCCAGTTCACAGAAGAAAAGCTGAACTCTCACTTGAGCTCCCATTTGAGCGGCGTTCACACACGACTAGAACACTCCCGTACAGAAACTTGTGGAAATTCAATGGTGTGAACTGGTTTTCAGAAAGTGGTATCTTCTACGCAGTACTAATGGGCTGTCTAGCCCATTTGAAATTACCTGTGTACATGGAAAATCAGTGATGAATTTGAAATAGTACCCTAGAATTATGATAAGCTTCTTTGTGCTTTTTGTGCAACATTACCTAGATGAATTTAATTTGGGGCAGAAATGTCCTCCTTGTTAGAGACACACTGTAATAATAGCACCAACATAAATGACAGAATGAACTGTGATACCTGAGCGTATCGTTTCGCTTCTAGTTAGTGTGAGATTTTATAAAGCTTCATGTCTTTCCACTTTAAAAAATTTAGGCAACGCTTCTCAAAATGACAAACTACATCAGCAATCCTGTTTTCTTCAGTAGGCTATATTTATTTTATTTCAGCACAGTGACAAAAGAACTGTCAAGTGAGAAGAAGCTTCCTTTGGATAGTTTTCCAGAGCATAAACCGCTTCAGGTTTCTTTGTTGAAAGAGGAGTATGCCAAAGAATGGGAGCTGTCATTATTCTGCATTGACAAATTTAGGTAGCTTGCTGTTTTAATCAGGACTGGCATTTGAAAAAGAGTTGCGCCTATTAAAATGGATCAATTCACTTTTATGAATTACTAATGACGGAAACTCATTTTTTATTGTAAACTCCACATTAATGATACATTTAGAATGAGATCACTGCTTTCTTAAGGAAGTTTTAAACAAGTTTACATTGTGGATGGCAAATACAGGATGAAAGAGTGCAAACAGTACGTGAGGAAATTGATATGGCAAGGCCTGCCTTATTTTATTATTTATGGGACTTATTCATCATGTTATACCAAAGTTTCAAGGTGATTTGACAATGACAGACAGTGCAATAAATTACATATAAAAAAAATAAAAACAACAACACAAGTGGTCACATAGTAATCAAACTCATTTCTCCCCAGTAGCATTATGCATGCATGTCTTTATTATTATTATTATTTATTACTTTTACATAAAGGTTATACACCATAGAAATAACATTTTCACACGTATTTTTTAAAAAGGGTTCTTTCGAACCTTGAGACATTCTTCCTTCCCTCCATGGGTTCCAATTCTAAATTTTATTCCTGCATCTTTTACTGTAATTTATCTGTTATATAATCATAGTATCCAAAATCCATATTACATTCCAAGTGTCATTATATTCCTGCCAATGATTTCAACTGTTTACAGTGACCTCTCAAATATGTTAGAAAGTTATTCCAGTCTTTTTAAAAATACTTGGTCTTCCTGGTTTCTGATCTTTCCCATCAGTCTTGCCATTTCTGCATACAGTGGTACCTCGGGTTAAGTACTTAATTCATTCCGGAGGTCCGTTCTTAACCTGAAACTGTTTTCAACCTGAAGCACCACTTTAGCTAATGGGGCCTCCCGCTGCCGCCATGCCGCCAGCGCACGATTTCTGTTCTCATCCTGAAGCAAAGTTCTTAATCCGAGATACTATTTCTGGGTTAGTGGAGTCTGTAACCTGAAGCGTATGTAACCTGAAGCATATGTAACCCAAGGTACCACGGTATTCCATAAGCTTGGTCTGCCACTCTTCTCTGGTCAGTAATTATGCATGCATGTCTATGACTTCTGTAGATTCTGCTTTAAACCTGACCCCAAGTATTTTACTTTGGATATGAGTTTGTGTGTCAATGCAACACAGGATCCCGATAGCGTAGGTTGGAATCTTCAAGATTCAACGATGGTTGTTTGGCATCAGATCCTTCATCATGCATAAGGAACAGTAAGTGGTTGGCAGCATGTCGTCAAGTATCTTGATGGCCATGAATGGCCATGACAGCCTCACAAAAGCAACCATCGTATACATCATATGCCCAAGTGGCCACAAATTTGGTATTTTCTGCATTTTGCATCTTTACCCATGGGTTTTCTTATTGTTTTCTTCCTGCTGAAACTTTACTGCCTCATGAACTTTTGCTTTTGAGTTGATTCACGTTCCCCCCCACCAAACAATCTTCTCTGTCAATGTGTGCACATACCTTCCCATTATTTGCAGTCTCACATGACGCTGATCCCGGCTGGCATTTTACCTCAGATATTACTATTAATATTTATTAAATTTATACACCTCCCATCATCAAAAGACCCCAGGACAGTTCCCAGAATAAAATACAAGACAAAACATAAGTAAATAATGAAACCAAGACTACAAAACAATACCCCCTTCTCCTTCCCACAGACATATTTAAAAGGCTGTTGGATATTAATCAGCCAAAGGCCTGGTTGAAGAGGAACATTTTGGCCTGGTGCCTAAAAATATATAATGAAGGTGCCAGGCGAAAATCCCCGGGGAGAGCATGCCACAAACAGGGAGCCACTGCAGACAAGGCCCGTTCTCATGTTTCCACCCTCCAGACCTCACATGGAAGTGATATACAAAGAATGGCCTTAGATGATGAATGTAGAGTTTGGGGAGGTTTATATGGGGAGAGCATTTATATGGGAGAGAGTTTACATGGGGAGGTTTATAAGGGGACGCAGGTGGCGCTGTGGGTTAAACCACAGAGCCTAGGACTTGCTGATCAGAAGGTCGGCGGTTCGAATCCCCACGACGGGGTGAGCTCACATTGCTCGGTCCCTGCTCCTGCCAACCTAACAGTTCGAAAGCACATCAAAGTGCAAGTAGATAAATAGGTACCGCTCCGGCGGGAAGGTAAACGGCGTTTCCATGCGCTGCTCTGGTTCGCCAGAAGCGGCTTAGTCATGCTGGCCACATGACCCGGAAGCTGTACGCTGGCTCCCTTGGCCAAGAAAGCGAGATGAGCGCCGCAACCCCAGAGTCGGTCACGACTGGACCTAATGGTCAGGGGTCCCTTTACCTTTACCTTATATGGGGAGAGGCAGTCCCCATTATCTCTCATATGGGTGAATTGTTGCCATTCATCTCTATGCAGAAAGGTAAAGGCTTCAAATTTCTTCCCCAAAAGAGTACAGCTCCCATCAACCGTATCGAAATCAGCCAATGGTCAGGGATTATAGGAACTGGACATTCAAGGCTGAAGAACACTGCACTGTGAGACTTTGTTTAGTTAAGGACAAATCCTGCCCTGATACTGAGTAGCCTGGTGCTCCCTGACAAAGAACTTACAGAGAAACACACTGCATCCTTTTGGGGTTACACAAACCCTCCATTTACACATACGCCACTCTTTAATAACGACGGGAATTTTCTTATTACTATAACAGACAAGGTCATCACCCAAGAACGTCTCAATCAATGGCCACAAAACTGTCTTTCTTCTTCTTTATCCATATTAAAAAAAACGGAGGCACAAATAACTCCTGCACTTCCCATGGGGCTGCAATGAGCTTGGAGGTGGTTTGCAGAAATTCGTTCGAAAAATCGCTGGATGCTGATCAAAACACAGCTGGCTTCTGTGATTCCTTTCTGCAAACTGAAGGCAAATATCCAAGGTGTCACTGTGGCAACTGACACCTTCCAGATGGTGCAGATGCCTGTGGATTGGCAGGGTGCTGTTTAAGCACATTTATGCGCGGAACAGCAAGTGAAGAACAAGCGAGTTTTCTGCCACCATGGGATTTTGCTCCCAGCTTGAGGCTCTGTCTCTTGTTTCAGACAACATGGAGCAGATGTGGAAACTTCTGCTTTCCATGAAAGGCTCAGCCAATTGCAGAAGTTCAAACACCTAAGGCATGGGAAGAACCCTGGGTTGCTAGGTAGAACAAATGGGGAAGAATCTATTATCCCATATAGGTCAAGGTCAAGGTAAAGGACCCCCTGGATGGTTCAGTCAAAGGCAACTATGGGGTTGTGGTGCTCATCTCGCTTTCAAGCCGAGGGAGCTGGCATTTGACCACAGAGAGCTTTCTGGGTCATGTGGCCAGCATGACTAAACCATTTCTGGCACAGCGGGACACTGTGATGGAAACCAGAGCGCACAGAAACACTGTTTACCTTTCCACTGCAGGGGTACCTATTTATCTACTTGCACTGGTGTGCTTTTGATCTGCTAGGTTGGCAGGAGTTCAGACAGAGTAACGGGAGTTCTTCCCATCATGGGGATTCGAAACACCAACCTTCCTAACCAGCAAGCCCAAGAGGCTCAGTGGTTTAGAGTACAGCGTCACCCACGTCTCTTTTGTCCCATATGGTTTCCATGGAAACACTGAAGAGCATCAGTTGAAAAACACACATACCACCATCAGCAGCAATAGCTAAGGCCTAAAGACACAGTCCATCATCGTCCCACCTGAGACTTGATCAGTCACCACTGCCTTTTAAAATAATATTATTATATATCAATTTTCACTTATTGCCAGCTGCCTTGAAGGCCTACTGTCAGGGAGCCAAGGCAGAATATAAATATTGTGAATGGATAAATCATAAAGAGGTATTTTATCCAAATTACAGATCTGAACAGTTTTACCTTTTGGAAAACACATTTACTTGTTTGGTAAGAGGGAGCTGTAACGTGAAGGTAAAGGACCCCTGGATGGTTAAGTCCAGTCAAAGGCAACTATGGGGTAGCGGCGCTCATCTCATTTTCAGGCAGAGGAAGCCGGTGTTTGTCCACAAACAGCTTTCCGGGTCATGTGGCCAACATGACTAAACTGCTTCTGCCACAATGGGAAACCATGCCAGAAGCCAGAGCACACAGAAACACCGTTTACCTTCCTGCCACAATGGTACCTATTTATCTACCTACACTGGCATGCTTTCAAACTGCTAGGTTGGCAGGAGCTGGGACAGAGCAATGGGAGCTCACCCCATTGCAGGGATTCGAACCGCTGACCTTCTGATCAGCAAGCCCAAGAGGCTCAGTGGTTTAGATCACAGTGCCGCCCACATCCTTGCAAGAGGGAGCTGTGATTGATACGTGAAGCATTTCTCATGGTGGTTGTGGTTTTTTTGGCCTCAGTAAAACCAGAGGTGGCGGAAAATGAAAACATTTGTAATTTGCACCCCGGCTAATACACCACCACATTTGTATGAGTTATGATTGAAGGCAGGCACTTGCTTTTGCTACGAAAGTTACATAGACTGATGTATGTAAAACCAGGAGTCTATGTACTGGTAACTTTCATAGGAAAAGCAAGAGCCTGCCTTCAATCGTAACTCCAGAAATGATCCAGGCTTTGATATTTTTGGGGATGATGATGGAAGAGAATTGTTTATTTACAAGTATATGCTGAATTCTGTCTGAGGGGCATCTCAAAGACTAGTTTGAGAGATCTGAAACTTCTGCTAGGGAGGACAAGCCAAAACAGAAGCACATTCCTCTGACTAAAGGGAGACTGCTTATTCATTTCCCAGTATCTGAGGATACATGGAGTGAACAGTGAATCTGTGGAGCCCTTAAGACATTGCACAGCAATTCTGTTGAAACTAACAAGAATGAATGAAATCAGCATGAACAGAATATTAAAAACTCATGAAATCTGCCCCATTAACTTCAAACCTCCTCAAGTTTATTCCAAGCACATTAAAGTCTCTCTAATGCAAAGCGGTAATTAGATTAATACATTTTTAGGTATGTGTGTTTCTGGTGGGGGGGGAAAAACCCCAAACCTCAAGATTTATCATTCAGGTTTGTACATTCTGGACATCAGCAGGCCAAGTATAGCAATATATCCAGGCTGCTTGCAGATTTTAATGCAATGCTAATAGCTAATGTTACATTGAACCAAATCTGTCGTTCTTTCTTTGGGTGTGATTCACACTTTTATTTCATCCTGAGGATTTGGTAATTTCACTTATTCCTGCTAGGTGCTATCGTGGCAAAGACACGGACCTAGAAAACATATGAGGGTCAGAAAGCCCATCTGCAGACAAGGAAACAAAATACTGCAATACAGAAGATCCAGCAACCAGCAGGGATTTCTGAACCAGTAAGCTACACCATCCAATTGGTCAGTTGAAGCCCTCGAGAGACTATAGAGTGCTAGACCTCAAGCCAAAGGGCAAGCTCTTTAAAAAATCTGTTCTTCACTAATGAGGTGAGGTTTGAGGCAGTCTCCAGGCCTTGCACAATATATATAGGGTTCAATTCTGATCTGGGGGGGCTGCTGGAACAAGCTGTCTTTCCAAGAGCTGTCCATAAATTGCCCATGCCTTGCTGCTAATAGTGTTCCTTTGCTAACCATTCATCCCTTTTATAATACAGTATTAATTTATTGGAGGATGGATGGCGGCTAACAGATTGAGGTTGAATCCTGACAAGACAGAAGTACTGTTTTGGGGGGACAGGGGGCGGGCGGGTGTGGGGGATTCTCTGGTCCTGAATGGGGTAACTGTGCCCCTGAAGGACCAGGTGCGCAGCCTGGGAGTCATTTTGGACTCACAGCTGTCTATGGAGGCGCAGGTTAATTCTGTGTCCAGGGCAGCTGTCTACCAGCTCCACCTGGTACGCAAGCTAAGACCCTACCTGCCCGCAGACTGTCTCACCAGAGTGGTGCATGCTCTAGTTATCTCCTGCTTGGACTACTGCAATGCGCTTTACATGGGGCTACCTTTGAAGGTGACCCGGAAACTGCAATTAATCCAGAATGCAGCAGCTAGACTGGTGACTGGGAGTGGCCGCCGGGACCACATAACACTGGTTCTGAGATATCTGCATTGGCTCCCAGTACGTTTCCGAGCACAATTCAAAGTGTTGGTGCTGACCTGTAAAGCCCTAAACGGCCTCGGTCCTGTATACCTGAAAGAGCCTCTCCGCCCCCATCGTTCAGCCCGGACACTGAGATCCAGTGCCGAGGGCCTTCTGGCGGTTCCCTCATTGCGAGGTAGTGAGGTTACAGGGAACCAGACAGAAGGTCTTCTCGGTAGTGGCGCCCTCCCTGTGGAATGCCCTCCCAGCAGATGTGAAGGAAATAAGTAACTATCCTATCTTTAAAAGACATCTGAAGGCAGCCCTGTTCAGGGAAGTTTTTAACATTTAACGCTGTATTGTTTTTAATATATGATTGGGAGCCGCCCAGAGTGGCTGGGGAAACTCAGCCAGATGGGAGGGGGATAAATAATAAATTATTATTATTATTATTATTATTCCACAATGAACATCTTATTTCCCTCTTAAGGTGTCCTCTTGAAAACAACAATCCAGACCAGACTTCTTGTTCACTGTGTACTTCCTCAGAAGTTTTCTTTCTGGTCCAGAGGGGAGATCATTCTGTTTCACATGGATAAATCCTTATGTCAATGGAGCCAGTGATTTATTGCTCCACTGAATACAGCCCATAGTCTATCCTGGTTTAAGGCAGTGTCTTACGTTCCTGTGTCCTGTGCGATTTTACGTTATTTGCAATTAAATGTGTCTGCAGTTAAACATGAACAGGAGCCAAAGTTCTTAGGTTGATGCTGCAAAGAGAACAATACAGACCCCCCACTCAATTCTTTGAGAAGCAACACATTTGTAATTTTCATCACATTACTTTTAATGAGCCGGGCTAGTTGTGAGCCAGAATCAGATTCGGTTTGTGGCCTACAGACCTGTGGTGACATAAATTATTTCATATACAATAGGCTGTATTATGAAGCTTAGAACGTTGTTATTAATGAGAGCTGGCTAAGGGCTAGGATAGCTTTAACCATGCTGCCTGTAGCTGGGATCAGCTGATACTGAAACAGCTCCTGGGGGCTAATTCTAGTGAGCAAATGGAAGAGTCTGGAGATGAGCTGATCATATTTCCTTGGCTGATGTCCTGAACACCCAGAAGCCACCAGCATATATAGCAGAACAACTTGCCCTTGATGGTTGGGAGTCAAGCAGCTACTCTCTCCGGTAACCTCAATGCCAAAAGATTGCAGATTATTATTATTATTAATAATAATAATAATAATAATAATATATTATTTATACCCCACCCATCTGGCTGGGCTATCTGTAAATAAGCCCACTCTGTGCGGCTTCCAACAAAATTAATGATAATAATAATAAAGCGATAAAACATCAGACATTAAAAACTTCCCTAAACAGGGCTGCCTTTGGATGTCTTCTAAAAGCTAGATAGTTGTTCATTTCCTTGACATCTGATGGGAGGGCATTCCACAGGGTGGGTGCCACTACAGAGAAGGCCCAGTAACCTCATTTCTCTTAGTGAGGGAACAGCCAGAAGGCCCTTGGAGCTGGACCTCAGTGTCCGGGTTGAACGGTGGGGCTGGAGATGCTCCTTCAGGTATACTGGGCAGAGGCTGTTTAGGGCTTTGAAGGTCCATGTTTTGTTAGCCGCAAAATGGAAAACGAGCAAGGAATATTTGGCAATAAGATTGGCAACTTAAGTTGACAGAATATGCACAGCTTGCAGACTTAACATATAGAATAAGAGAACAAGAAGAACATACGTTTAGAGAAGATTGGAAAACGTTTATTGAATATAAAAGAAATAATTGTGTACAGCTGAAAAAGTTGGCAGCATTAAGATAAATTCAACAGTGTAAATAAGTTATGATGGATGCAATAATGGTATACTGAGTGGTATAGTTTTTGTAAAATATGCAGGGATGTTAGATATGTAAAATGAACCACGGAAAGAGAAGGGAAATCACTGATATCTTAAGGATGTAAAATGAGTATTTTAAACTGTAAAACAGAAAATTAAATTATATATATATGTATATATATATATATATATATATATATACACACACACACACACACACACACACACACACACACACACATAACAGTCGACATATGATTTGTTAGTCTGGATTTATTCAGGTTTACCAGACTAACAAATCAGGTGTGACAGGGTTTGCCTAGCTCTACCCAGAGATCAGAACAAAACTCATTCGGGTCATTGAGTTGTCACAGAACAAACCTCAACTGAAATTCATAAGACCTTAGAAGAGGCCCCTAACAGAAAGTTTGACCATTGGTTTGAGAGACACAGTTTGGCATGGCTATGACTTACTAAGTACCTCCCATCTATATATTGGCAGTGAGTGATAAGGATGCTAGAGATGATATGAAGCAATCTGAAATTCTTTCACTATATATGGTTGGGTGTGGGAGGGAAGAAATGCTGAATGGCTACACAAGACTGATATTTCATTCCTTTGTTTTTGTGTAGGGACTGTATATTATTAATGTCACACAGATATTGGATGGGTGCTGCCAAATCTAATTGCATTATTCTTAGTGGGCAAATAAACCAGGAAGGATAGATAGAGCCTGACAGCTTTTTAGAAATCAGTGCTTGCAACTCTCTCTGTTCCAAGTTCCATGAGAATAGATTCTGGATGGTGTGCAAGGCTTGTTTATAGGCCTCGGGAGACGGTGTGGTTATGTATGAAGAGATCATTGCATAATTTCACATATATTGTATAATTTATGCTACGATGAATGCATTCTCTTTAATGTTCCCAAGATGTCTTGGATGATCCAAGGGTTATTTCTGTCCACCATGAAGATGCAAGGAGACTACTATGGCAGCTCCTCCTGTTTAGAGACACCAAAGTTGTGGAGAACGCAACTGTTTTCTATTCTGCAGTGCAAAAAGAATAAAGAATCCCGTTATCTCTGAGAAAGGGAACTTCTGAATGTTCCTGAATCTTTCATGATAACGCTAGTGTGAAGAGGGATGTTTTTGGTGCGGGAGCTATCTCAACTCCCATTTCTCATGGAAATAAAACTGGAAATAACATCCACTTTTTAAAGGCAGCATGCTACTTTTGTTCAGGTCTCTGTCTTCAACGACAATACGTATTCATGGCTGACAGTCTTCTTCTTTGGCGATCACTCGTAGCGAAGTAAGATTGTCTTCCATAAACAGGGTTATAACAGTGAGTCCGTAAGTGACTGTGAAGGCCAATTCTGGATCCACATGGGCTTCCACAGTGGGGACATAGGTTTCCGGGTGGGAGTTGATCATGGTGAGGGTTTGCCAAGGGTGTCTTCCTTTTAGCATGTTTCTCCTGAGTTTGAGAGTCTTCAAAGCCCATGACACCTTTGGTAAAGGCTGTTCTCCAATTGGACTGCTCGCAGCCCAGTGTTTCCCAGTTGTTGGTGTTTATACTACCTTTTTTAAGATTTGCCTTCGGAGAGTCTTTAAACCTCTTTTGTTGACCACCAGCATTACACTTTCCATTTTTAAGCTAGGAAAAGAGTAGTTTCATTGGAAGACGATAATCAGGCATCCGCACAACATGACCAGTCCAACAAAATTGATGTTGAAGAACCATCACTTCGATACTGGTGAGCTTTGCTTCTTCTAGTACACTGGCATTAGTTCGCCTGTCTTCCCAAGTGATGTGTAAAACTTTTCGGAGACACTGTTGATGGAATTTTTCAAGGAGTTGGAGATGGCATTTATAAGTGGTCCATGTTTCACAAGCATACAGTAAGGTTGGTAGTACAATAGCTTTGTAAACAAGCATTTTGGTTTCCCTGAGAATGTCCCGGTCCTCAAACACTCTGCACTTCAATCGGGAGAAAGCTTCACTCGCAGAGCTCATGCGATGCTGGATTTTGGCATCTATGTCAGCCCTTGTGGAAATATAACTGCTCAGGTAGGAGAAGTACCATTAGGCAGAGTGAGGTGTCTACCACATGTAAAAGATTTGGGGTCCCACTTCATCTATTTTTACCCTGGGGACACTTTCAAGTTTATTTTCTTCCTGAGGCACCATCATCTTTTGGGTGGGCAATCTAAAGAAGGCAGAGACGGGCGAAACTGTCAATTTTGGGTTCTCTTGGTTTAAACATTTTTCCAACATTAAATTTGGTTCTCAACACTTCCACATCAGTTTGTACATTTTCTTATTGAAAAAAAGTCCTCGTGAAAAATTAACCTAATATACACATATTTGTACAGTGGTACCTTGGGTTACAGATGCTTCAGGTTACAGATGCTTCAGGTTACAGACGCCGCTAACCCAGAAATAATCCCTCTGGTTAAGAACTTTGCTTCAGGATGAGAACAGAAATCGTGCAGCAGTGGCGCGGCGGCAACGGGAGGCCCCATTAGCTAAAGTGGTACCTCAGGTTAAGAACAGTTTCAGGTTAAGAACGGACCTCCAGAACGAATCAAGTTCTTAACCCAAGGTACCACTGTAATGTGATTCTGCCTAATATGCATATCTTTGCACAGCATTGCCCTGTGATATAATATACATAGAGGAAAGTCGGGGGGGTGAAGTCTTTCCTCTGGTCCACTCCTCAGGTCATGTCCCCAAGTTGGCTACAATCACAGTGGAACGCCAGCAGTCAGTATGGCCAGTGGAAGAGGAAGTGGCGTCCTCACCGCACCAAAACCGGATGTGTGCCAGAGCCCACACCAGGCCACAACCACCACCTGCCCAGAGCTGCAAGCAGGAGTGTCAGCTTGGCCCTGACTGTGAGTTCCTGGGGCCATGAGTGCCATGCAGTGTGCATGGCCCTGGCGCTGAAATTTGTCAATGCCCAGTCCTGTCGTGCGAAATTTTGTGGGTGCTCAGGTGCCCCAGGGAGCCAGCGCCAATGGCTGCAAGCTAAGTGGCCATTCTCACCTTGTTTCTTTCTTCTTAAAAGGTAAAGAGACCCCTGACCATTAGGTCAAGTCATGACCGACTCTGGGGTTGCGGCGCTCATCTCGCTTTATTGGCCGAGGGAGCCGGTATACATCTTCCGGGTCATGTGGCGAACCAGAGCAGTGCACAGAAACGCCGTTTACCTTCCCACCGGAGCGGTACCTATTTATCTACTTGCACTTTGAGGTGCTTTCAAACTGCTAGGTTGGCAGGAGCAGGGACCGAGCAACAGGAGCTCACCCCGTCGCGGGGATTCGAACCGCCGACCTTCTGATCGGCAAGTCCTAGGCTCTGTGGTTTAGTAATACAAAATGCTGAAAACAAAAGAAAGAAAGGTAGCGTGGGAACCAACTTTGCCTTGTAGCACTACAGTGCGGATTAGACGATATCACAGTGGTGTGCTGATGGGGGAGCAATGCTTTTAAAAGGAAAGTTTGCGGTATAATATACGGCAAACAACAAGGCCCCCGTCCGCCGCCAGCAGAACTGTTTGAATACCTCTGCAATTTAACTATACAAAGTTGATAAGGAAACAGCAGCAACACTGAGGGGTTTTTTTTTTTTGCACTTGCATGTTTCATGTTTGTTTGGAATCTTTTTAGAAATCCCCTTGCCTCTCGAAAGAGCAAAGGAAACCACGTGGCACTGGCCCCAGGCTGAGACTCTGAACTGCAAAGCATTCGCGGGGGAAGAGCTCAGCCGCTCCAATCTTTGATCTAACTACACACATCTATTGTAGAATGATAAAAAATCATTTCTGTCCTTAGGCAGGAGAACAATGTAGCCTTAGGAAGAGGCTCTGCCTTTTTCTTTCCCTCTTTCCCTGGGAGATGAAGCCTTGCATCTTTCAAGGTGAAAAAAGATTTCTCGTGCTTATCATGCATTATGAAAGCCACTGATGAAATACCATTTTAAACTGTATTTGAAATTGGGTGTGGGGTTTGACAACGTGGATTGGATTTTTCTTCCTGATGCTATTTTTGTGCTCTGTAACAGCTGAAGGGTTTAACCAGCGGTTATCAATATCCAATCTATAGGGTCTAAGGGATGTATTATTTTTATGCTTACTCACAAATATTTTCCTACCAAATAAGGCTTCCTAGGACAACTCTTTGGAACATTTAAATCCAGGATTATAGTGGATTTAGTTGTCGTTGGCAAATTCCTTATCCCACACAGTTAAACTATAGAATTCAATTCCACAAGTTGTGATGGGGGAGAAATATGATTTGATGTGCATTTAAAAGGCAAGTCTACCAAATTTCTAACATGATGTAACAACCTAAACGCAGCCATCCTTTGAAAGTAACACAAATCCCAATTTTGCAATGCAGTTCTCCAATGAAACCAAGTTTGCCAAATTGCATACATCCCATAAAAGCGTGCATAAGAATTATATGCTAGTGAAAATAACATACAAATGTGCATATTTTAGATAAAACTGTTTGCACGTGCACATTAATCCAAATTACATACAGAAATGTGTTATTAGGAGAAATTTGCACCAAAGTGCTGAAGAATTTTATTTATTCATTTAGCCAGTTGCTTTAAAAATATGACCTGAATTTAAGATGGTATTCAACTCCGAGTAGGCTTGCTAAGATGTATAAGATGAATCAGATAAGTGCTGGAGATGCAAAGAGGTTGAGGGAACGTTCTTTCACGTGTGGTGGACTTGTAAAAGGGTAAAAGAGTATTGGGAAATAATCCATTATGAATTGGAATAAAAAGGTTAAAAGTACTTTTCCAAAAAAACCCACAGTCCTTTTTGTTGGGGATAATTCAGACTGAAATTCCCAGGTGTCAAAAAAAGAAAAGAAAAGGTTATTTATGTATGCTACTACTGCGGCCAATGTTTTGTTAGCCCCCAAATGGAAAATGAGTGAGGTCCCAACCCAAGAAGAATGGCAACTTAAGCTGACAGAATATGCACAGCTTGCAGACTTAACATATAGAATAAGAGGACCATACATTTAGAGAAGATTGGAAAATGTTTATTGAATATATGGGGGAAATTGTGTACAGCTGAAAAAGTTGGCAGCATTAAGATAAATTCAACATTGTAAACAAGTTTTGATGGATGCAATAATGGAATACTGAATGGTATAGTTTTTGTAAAATATGCAGGGATTTATGATATGCAAAATGAACCATGGAAAGAGAAGAAGGGAAGTTATCGATATCTTAAGGATTGTAAAATGAGTATTTGAAATTGTAAAACAGAAAATTTAATAAATATGTATATATGACCTGAATTTAGTATTGGTAAAATGAGGAACTGAGAGAACTGGCATGGTCCGATCCTTCTACCGTACAACAAGAGGTAGTGATGGCCATGAAGTAGGATGACTTTCAAAGAAGACTAGAGTAATTAATAGAGGATAAGGCTGTCAGTTGCTACTAGTCATGACGACTCTGTTCTGTTGGAGGCAGCGTGTCTTTGGATGCCAGTTTCTGGCAACTACAAGTGGGAAAGAGCGCTGTGGCCCTCAGATCTTGCTTTTGGGCTTCCCCCATAAAACTGTTTATCCTTCCACAAATCTTATGTTTCCCCTGAGCCTGCTAATATCTCCTTCTTCAGCACGGGTGGTTCTGTTTGGCTACAGAAGAAATGGGACTTGCACCCTGAACTTTGGAAACAGAGGCGATGTTTTTATTTATTAGACAATATTGTTCTTCCAAGAACAATTTCTGCATATTTCTCATATCTGGGCTGTTTACATGACCACGAACTACTTAGCTTCATCTGGTGTGTGCCTTTGAACCATTTTCTGGGCCCTCTGTGCAAGAAACCGCCCACTTGTCTGCCTTGAAATTAGAATTAATTAAGTTGGTTAGCCTAAATTTATCTGCAATGACCGCATAAAACGCCCTTTGCGTGGACGCGCGCAGCCCCTGGATCTGGAGCGGCTCCATCAGCACAGGCTTGGCTTTGCCTGCCCCCAGGTGGGATAGCTGGAGGTCTCCACCTACCTCAGTCAGTTGTCCAATCCCATCTGGGGGAAGTGTTGCCAAGGAGACCAGGCCAGGTAGGGGAGGGACTACCTGCCCACACAATAGAGGGAGGTTCTTACCTGGGAATCCTCACTTGGCTCCAGAGCTTCTCCCACCCTACCCACCCTCAGTTAAGTCTTATTTTGCAGGTTAACTTTTCTTCACAGGTATGCGGGCGCTGCTATGTCAAGGTCGCTGTTGAAGGGCCGGAAAGGAATTCCCCTGCATTGGCAGGTTTTGCCTTTCCTGTAGCAAAACGTCACAACTTTGGCGGTATGAGGCCTTGGGTAGAATCCTTTAGTCTATCTTCCTCTTTGCAGCGGTGATACTAGGGTTCCCCATTAAAGGGGTTTCTGAGGGGAGGCTTTGACCATACGCCGAGAGGTCATCATTGCTCTCTCCCTGCGACGGCGGCATAACGGGGGCAGCTATCTCTGCTTGAACATATGTTCTCCAGAGCCGGCCCATCCCCCCCCCCACTGGATAACCCTGATGTTCCCTAGGTCCCCGGCTGGGGACTGGGGAGGGATAACGCCCAATGCCTGAGCCAAGGTCTACCCACATCTGAAATTTAATAAAGTTGTGGCCAATTTAATCCCATAGCACGTTGTCTTGAGTCGTTATTCCACATGACGGGGTGGGGTGGGGTGGGGCGCCGCCTGTCCACGCAAATCTATTTACTTCTTATGTACTCAGGTTTTAATAGCTTCACATAAGGGGGAGGGGGAGGACATGGAATCTAGAAAATACTTTCAAAGACAATTTCTCGGGTCTTTTTATAGTCTCTTATTTTGAGAAAAAAGCCCTGTTATTGTCATTCAGAGGCTGTTCAGGAGGTCTGAAGACCTAATAGTTTTAGGGGTGTAAGATGGGAGTCTTATTCAGGAAGCAATAACAGAAGCAATGTAAAACCTGTTCCAGGACTCCAAACAGCCCTTAAAGCAATCATCATTTCAATGACTTATTGATTTCTGGGATAGTTAAAAGTGCAGGGCACATTCTCAGACTTGAGCAGCAAATCAACATAAAAGATGTCCCGTCTTTTGATTATGAACAAACACTAGATAGCCTAACAAGATAACTAATCTGCACTAAAGGCAATGGTCTGAAACAAGTTTGAACATGGCAAAGGAGAGCTTTTTCTGGACATTTTTAGATTATTTCATAGGTTTTCCAAACATCACACAGTTGAAGTCCATGATGTGCCTTACGTACATAAAATGGGTTGTTGTCTGCATGCGTGTTCAAGCAGGGTGGGCAGAAAATGCCCAGAGAACCCTGAGGGGGGAAAAAAATCTGTACCTGTTTGTGGACACTGAACTTCCCATTCAACTGCTTGCTTAGTGCTGGCTAAACGCTTAGGACAGCTTTCACTAACCAGATATTTTAGTCTGTAACTTCCATCAGCTCCAGCCAGAGTAGCCATTTTCTGTAATGTACTGAATTTCGGGTATGTTGCCCTCAGGGATATAAAAAGTCACCTGGTGTCATTGTGATATCAGATGGCTGACAGGTAGGTGCCAAACCTGGCAGATCCACTGGCCATATGCAGTTGTGTGTCGAGGTCCCCAGGGCCACCCCAATAACTCACACATCACACAGAATTTTTGTTTAAGGTTTTTGGCATAATTTTGGCCACAACTTTATTAAAATACAAAAATGTGAGTGGTTGCTTAGGCATTGGTTACGACTATCTGCCGCCACCATGGGGGACAGTCTGACATTCCGCATGCCTGCGAAAGTCAGAAAAGGGGAATACACTTGGAGGTAGCGACGGAGCAGGGAACCTGCCCTCAGCCCTCCCCAAATGCAACCAGGAGCTCATTGCTATGGCCTGTGCCCCCTTGACAGAGTGGACAAGCAATAGTTAGCCCCTGATTCCTTTAACGGAATCCCTTGCAGCAGCAGCATTAGGGGGCAGGCACAGCCAATCTGTGCCCCTCAAAAAACCAAACCATAAACCAATGCCTAACCGTAACCTTACAAGTTGTGAAGATTTGCTACGCAGTAGGCAAAAACCAAATGGCTCCAGCCAATCAGCCAGATGGACAAAATTCCTACCGGGCCCCTGCCCCAAGAGCAGATGACCCCATGACAGGCATAGCAAGGTCAAAGCGACCAACCCTAATTCTAGGGAGGGGGGGACGGGCAATCCGATGCACGGAGCGAAAAGAGGAAGCCCTAGCCTCGTGCAAGGAGTTTTAGCATTTCTGGCTGTCAATCAACAAATGACAACATTAACTTCTTCCCAACAACAAGGGAAGCCTCAATTGCATCAGTGGCCAACAATCAATTAGCCCGTCCCCAACTTTGGAGTGTCCTGGCAGCCCCCACCGCATCACGTGCTCTCCATGAAGGAGAACACGCTTTGCCTATGCCTGTTTGATCAGACACTGCCAGTTCAAACCCCATGAGTGCATATATGAAATTAAGGAATTTTATATGAATTTATATGTGGCTGATTTGCACATTAACAGCCATGAGCTGCCCTTGGTATTGGTCTTCCTAAACTTTTTGTCAAGTGTGGGGTTGACAAACAATTTTAATGTTTGGATCCCGTTTTTATCAGTAATAAATAAATAAGAGCCAATTTTTTATTAATAACAACGGAATCCAAACATGCATTCAAATTTAACTCCCCCCCCAGAAGCAAATGAATAAATCATAGGTTTGCTTACTTAAATTTTAAGAAACCAGTGTGCAAAACCTTGATGTGCTCTTCAATCCACTTGTAGTCAGTCAAACACAGAGGCAAACTTAGACCAGTCTAAGTAATGTTTGCTATCTAGGGAACTGTCTTCAGCTCCCAATAAAGATCCCCTGGGGACTCAGGGATCTTCTGTAGCCTGGGGGCCTTTGTGCTGCCTGTCTCCAAAGGCAATCTCTTTCATCTTCATTCATAACAGTATTCAGTAATTGATCACAGGAAAATTCATAGCAAACATGCTGATTGTTTTATATTCAAAGTCTGCCTGTCAGACTTCTCCAAGATATTCCCCCCTGCCCCCATATTCCCCAAGTCCAGGGGTGAGGAAGCTCAGGCCTGGAGGGGTCAAATACATCCCTCCAGCTCTATCTATTTGGACCCTGGGATTTCCTCAGGCCAAACCCCTCATCAGCTTCCTTGACTGTTTCCCCCACCTGCTATAATGGGCTCTTGAATGCTGATAATCGTTCTTGTTTGCCTGGGTGAAGGATAGAGATGGTTGCAAAAAAGCAGTCTGCGTAAAAACTAGCCTACTGTACAAAGGGAAAAATAATTCCATTGTCCTGCCCGCTTTTTACCTCTGGACCTGCTTACCATGAGCATGTGGTCCCTGAAAGGTTGCCTGGAATGGAATCTGGCCCTTCATTTGTAAAAGGTTTGCCACTCCTGCCCTACTTAAAATCCTATTTCTAGTTTTGCTGTTCTATGATTCCCTAGTGCACAAAACCCAAGAGCGGGGCTGGGGGTAAATTCTTTTGAATGCCAGTGGGGTTAAATTTCTTAATTTGGCCAACCATTTCAGTGCCATCTAGTGTAAATAGGTCATTTGTTCTTTTTGACTGTTCTCCTTTTGGATCATTCTTGAACACAAGCAGTTAATCTCGAGGTAATATCCTATACAGGACATTGATAGATTACTATTGCTTCTCAAAATGAGCATCTAAAACTGCGCTTGTGACTTGGACTCATGCTGTAAGTCAACCAAGATCAGCAGATGTTTCTCATCTTGATATTTCTAGCGTAATGAATCGCTAGCCAATCGTAACAAAAGTTTGAGCTCCCCAAACATCTTCAGTCTGTAATCCTCAGATAATCATGGGGATCAGATTTGAAGGGAGCTCGCCCAATGGGTGAAGGTTCTGACGCAGTTGAGGTTGGAATGAAAATGGCACTTGAAGCATCAAAGAACGTGGAGCTTGTAGAGAAATTGATAAGTGAGGAAAGGGATCGACTGAAAATCCAGCATTTGGATCAGTGCTGAGGATCAGCTAGTATGTGTTAGTTTGGAATAACGTCTATGACATTTCCCTTGTATTGCCATTTCAACCCTCCCAATGCCCCATAAGCATATTTGCTGCCACTAAGAGTTTGGAATATGCCATTGAAATTCAGATAGTTGTTGTTGTGAGTGTTTGATTTGTGATTTAGTGATTTAGTGACCTTTCTCCCCTCCTGTTCCTAGAATCCCTCTGTAGCTTCATATCCGTCCTTTGTAAACAAGCTGCCATAAGAGCCTGGCTACATGTTACACTCACCATCCAAAAGGAAAGGGAGTCTTACGGCACCTTAAAGGTCAACAAATGTATTATGATATCAGTTTTCCTAGACCAGACTTTTCATTGTTTTGGCTGCAGCAGACTAACATGGCTACCTTCCTGGAAATTGTCACAATTACAAAAGCGCCCTCACTTCTGTCAGTCAACACTGGCGGAAAGTTTGGTGGTATTCATCTTGGTGTCATGCTGCGAAGGAAGGAACAGCTGCTGGCCTATGGGCTTTTATCTGCTGCTAACATGCATTGTTAATTTCCCCTGTTTCTCAATAGCTGGGGGAAATTAGCAGAGTGAGATAAGAGATAGGCCAGCAGCTTTTCCTTCTCTCTCAGTGTGACATCAAGGCAAACACCTCCAAGCTTTCCTCAAGAGCTGACTGTTCAGGGGGCACCTTCAGAATTCCAAACAGTCAAAGCCTGGAGATGCCAAATGTGATAGATGTCATGTGTAGCTAGGCTCCTCCATTGTTACCAGGGGTTCCACATCATTAGAATTGAGAAGGGGTGAGGGAGAGGGCTGGGATACGCACGAGGGTGAAAAATGAGGCCGCGGGACCCCAAGCTGCTGAAAACCAGTGCTTAAATAGTGGAACAGCTGGCAAGGTTCCTTCAACTACACCTTTCCATTAGAATTTAAATTGTTTTGCTCCAGTTCATGAAGCCATCCATTTCCGCCTGCAGAATGTTCTGATCGTTTAGGGAAAGAAAGCAGACTCTAGAAAGGGGATTTGATCAGTTTCCAATTCATTATATGCCAATCTCGATTGATTGGAAGAGTTGTGAATTTCCATTAAAATCGAGACACAAATTAGAAAGTGGCTCAGTATCACTGCAACTTCTGGATCTTGTGTGGTGTGGCCAAGTGGGCACATAATGTAGTGGGAGGTGGGATTTATCTTCTCTGATCGCTGTCCAACTGTGTAAATACAATGACCAATGACTGGTAGGGTTGTCAGGTAGCCACCTAGACTTCCCTATCTTCCCTTGGATGTTAACAGCACAGCAAGAAAATTTCTATAAGCATCACTGGCAGCCTTCTGGTTCATTCCTTTTCTGGTCCATCTCCATTGCTCTTCTCTTGCACCTAAAACAGGCTGGGAAGGAAGGTGAGTAGATGGATTGGGGGAAGCCTTAGGAGATATGTGTGCAGCCAATCTCAGTCTTCTCCTCCATTGTTAAGGTCAGAGGTAAACCTTCACTTCCCAGGTCCCTTGGACGAAAGTGTTTGGACACAGTCCTTTATTCAATGGGAGGAATCCTATCATCCTGATGTTTGCCTGTCCATCCAGCTGTGGCACATTTCATAAAGGATCAGGAAATTTTCCACTGTCTAGCGGGTATTTCACTTTTACTGGGGGGGAAATAGTATTTTTTTAATATATATATATTTTTTGCCCTGGATACACACAGACAGATTGCATTCGGCTTGTTTGGCTCTGACCTTTGTACACTGCAGCTGTTCTACCCGGGTTAGTTGAACTGTAAACAAGGGAGAGCATGGATGGTTCTCCAAATTACAGAATAATGAAAAGGTCAGAATCTCTTTTACAGACTGCCTTGCATTTCTCCAGCCAGAAGGTATTAAAAAGCCACAATGCTATGCCTCGTTTGGGTGTCTTAAGGGTTCTAATGAGAGCAGAAAATGGCTCTGCATGAATCTATGCTTCTGACAGAGACTGTAATGAGAAGAGCAAATGGTGATAAATGTAACCATTCATGGACCTTCCATAGCGGTTTTGCCGTGTGGCATTTTTTTTGCTTGTCATGCAAGGAGGAAAGCACCTCTATGAAAAAGGGTTGCCTGCAAATACACCATTCTTTTAGTTATCGCTGGTTAACTAGTTCATACCAAATGATGTTTTCAGTTCACAGCAACATGCTTTTTAAGATGGACTCTGTGAGGAATTGTTAGAGAGGCCAGTAATTAGTTTTATGAGTCAATGTTGCAGGAATCCTGACTTCTGTGCTTAAGATCACTAATGGGATTTCATGCACACATAGCTGTACAGTGGTACCTCGGGTTACGTACTTAATTCATTCCAGAGGTCCGTTCTTAACCTGAAACTATTCTTAACCTGAAGCACCACTTTAGCTAATGGGGCCTCCTGCTGCTGCCGCACCGCCAGAGCACGATTTCTGTTCTCATCCTGAAGCAAAGTTCTTAACCCGAGGTACTATTTCTGGGTTAGCAGAGTCTGTAACCTGAAACGTATGTAACCTGAAGCGTATGTAACCCGAGGTACCACTGTATTGAGAAGGACGGGGAAATCACGTCACTTTTGCCACCTCTTTTCATGCTCAGGATGGTTGAGAAATGGCTTCTTGGGTTAAAATATCTTGATTATAAGTCCCTTGTATGCTCAAATATGAATTGCATCTGCATGAGACCAGAGGTTCTGTACACTCTCACATTATTTAAGATTAGGCACTTGGGTGCAGCTCCTAGAGATCTGCATAGGAGAACATCCTGTAGGTTGTGACTGGTGGGGTCTGGTAAGAATGGTCTCCTTCCCATTCCAGTAGTCTTAATAGCATCCCAGATCCACCAACAGAGGGGGCCACCTATGTTTAGAGCTTCCAGAAGCACCACTGAAGATAGGTTCAGTTACCAGCCATGAGGATCTGTTTTTGTCTCTTGGAAACAAGGAAGATCGAGAATGGTAAATTCAAATCAGCCGATCATGTTTATTAAGTTCAAAACAGCTCACGAAACACTGTGGTCTAAGATTAAAAAAAAAAATTATTGTACCTGAAGCATTTTTATTAGGGATTGTAGGGGAAGATCTGCCAAAAAAGCTGAAAAACATCTTCATGTATGAGACAACGGCTGCAAGAGTTTTAATAGCACAAGGATGGAAGACTGAAGAAACCCCAACTAAAGAATCATGGCAAGAAAAATTGATGGACTATGCAAACCGGCAAAACAGACATACAAGCTATGGGACAAGGATAACTGTGACTTTAAAGATGAATGGGAACCCTTTACAAAGTATTTGAAGACACAACAAAGCGAACTGGACTCCTTGGCTGGTTTTGAATAAACATTCACAAACTTTTTATTGATAATAATCAGCTAAATAGTTTCAGGATTTATACAACTGTGTAACATGCAGAAAACAGCATTTTTAGAGAAATCAAAGACTGGAACTGAGGGAAGTCGGGGGGAGGGTGGATGGGTTCTGTGGGGGGAGGGAGGGGAGGGAGGAAAAATGGGGGAAAATAAGGATGATATGTTTCTGGACAATATGTTTTGTTTTAATTTTGAATAAAAGTTATTTAAAAATAAATAAATATAAAATAATAATTATTGTAGCTTTTTCAAATATAGAAAATGTACTATTGCATTGCTCTTCCTCCACTTGTACCAACACAATTGTTTTAAAATGGCGGTGGCAATCCATTCTACTTGAAGCTCTTTTGCATCGAGACAGAAGGCCCTTATTTTGTTTTCCTCATGGGAAGTTTGTTTTTCAGTGAAATATTCTGAAATGAGGTTTTAATATCAAAGCATTGGGAAAACAGTTGAAGAAGATACTCCAATGATGAGATGAACTGCAGAGTCTACTACTCCTTCCTGCCTTCCTGCCTTCCTTCCTTCCTTTCATGTGAAATAGAGCAATTTCAGGTGTGCACAAGGATGTGAACAGTGCCATAGAGTTTTTCTTTGAATACATTTTTATAAAATCCATTATATACTGAAAGAAAGATTCTAGTGCAAATTCTGACAACAGGTTGACAACAACCCCACTTGTTAATTTTTAAAAAAATAACAATTTTTATTAAATTTTCAATTTTACAACTTCAAATAGCATTTTATAAACTTTAAAATATCCAGTGACTTTCCTTCTTCTCTTTCCATGGTTCATTTTACATATCATAAAGGTAAAGGGACCCCTGACCGTTAGGTCCAGTCGCGGACGACTCTGGGGTTGCGGCGCTCATCTCGCTTTACTGGCCGAGGAAGCCGGCGTTTGTCCGCAGACAGCTTCCGGGTCATGTGGCCAGCATGACAAAGCTGCTTCTGGCTAACCAGAGCAGTGCACAGGAAATGCCATTAACCTTCCCGCCGGAGTGGTACCTATTTATCTACTTGCACTTGACGTGCTGTCAAACTGCTAGGTTGGCAGGAGCAGGGACCGAGCAACAGGAGCTCACCCTGTCGTGGGGATTTGAACCGCCAACCTTCTGATTGGCAAGTCCTATACTCTGTGGTTTAGATCACAGCACCACCTGCGTCTCACTTACATATCATACATCTCTGCATATTTTACTATAACCATTCAAATCAGTTTTCCACTTTTACATCCACCAAAAATTATTTGTTGTTGTTGTCTTTGTCCAGACAACAAATTATTTACTCTGTTGAATTTATCTTAATGCTCCTGGCATTTTCAGCTGTATACAGTTACTTTCCATATGTTCAATAAAAGTTTTCCAGTCTTCTTTAAATGTATGTTTTTCTTGCTCTCTTATTCTATATGTTAAATGTGCAAGTTGTCCATATTCTGTCAACTTAAGTTTCCAATCCTCTTTAGTTGGGACCTCGCTCGCTTTCCATTTTGGGGCTAACAAAACATGGGTCACAGCTGTTGCATACATAAATAACTTTTTCTGACAACTGGGAATTTCAGTCTGGGTTATTCCCAGCAAAAAGGACTCTCTCTCTCTCTCTTTCTCTCTCTGTGTGTGTGTGTGTGTGTTTTTTGGGGGGTAGTTTTGAACATTTTTTCCAATTCATTATAAATCGTTTCCCAGCACACTTTTACCTCTCTACATGTCCACCCCATGTGGAAGAACGTTCCCTCCACTTCCTTACACTTCCAACACATATCTGATTCTGTTTCATAAATCTTAGCCACCTACTCAGAGTTAAATACCATCTATGAATCATTTTCAAACCACTTGTTACATATTTTACTCTGCTAGATGTTCCTTAACCAATAGCCAGTCTTTGAGCCTTCTGCCTCATTTTTGGAGAGAACTAGCTTTTCAATCCTACATTTGCCTGCTCAACATAAAACCCATGGGGCTTACTCCAAGGTGGATAGGTAAAGGTAAAGGGACCCCTGACCATTAGGTCCAGTTGTGGCCGACTCTGGGGTTGCGGCGCTCATCTCGCTTTATTGGCCGAGGGAGTCGGCGTACAGCTTCTGGGTCATGTGGCCAGCATGAGTAAGCCGCTTCTGGCAAACCAGAGCAGTGCACAGAAACGCCGTTTACCTTCCCGCCAGAGCGGTACCTATTTATCTACTTACACTTTGAGGTGCTTTCGAACTGCTAGGTTGGCAGGAGCAGGGACCAAGCAACGGGAGCTCACCCTGTCGTGGGGATTCGAACCGCCGACCTTCTGATCGGCAAGTCCTAGGCTCTGTGGTTTAACCCACAGCGCCACAGAAGTCTAAAACTGTCAACACAATGCACTGAAAGTGAAACAAGACCAACCAACTCTTTTTGCTCTGGTTGTCTTGAACTTCCTACCCAACTACACCAGGGGAACACCACCAAATTCCTTATTGCCTACAACAGATAGTCTCCATCTTAGAACACAAAATCTTCCTCATAAATATCACTTATTTATTATTTACCAAGGCAGGATGCTTTGCCACGGGGAAGTAATTTCCTCCACCATCCCAATGGCCTCCAAAACATGTGCTTTGTCTCATTTTATAGTTCAGTCAATAATATATGACCATATACTGTTCTACTGCTGCAGTTAAGGTGGGGCAGAGCTGAAAAGCATATGTTTAAGATGAGTCTTTGACTATTCAATTGAGCACTGTCGAGATGAGGTCACAGTGACCTCACAATGAGGCTATAGTGACCTCACAATAAGCCTAGCCTCAATGACACATACAGTGAAAGTGTTTATATGAACTATAACTCATACAGAGTTTTACAGATCTCAATATCTACAGCTAAGATACTGGCAGATCTCAACACTGACAATTAAGAGAAGAACAATTCTGTTTACCTTGGCTAAGTGAGTTATATGATGGCAGCAATGGGATGGTTGCTGTCTAATAGCAATTGGACTCCATTAGATCTTATTTCCTTTGGGGAAATTGCCTGCATATAATTTGTTTATTAAAAAACATTTCAAGGCTGCCTTTATGAGTAAAACTTACTCAAGACTGCTTATGTAAAAGTAACAGATAAAATACAGCCCCAATGGTAAGAGAATACGATAGAAAACCTCTCCTAAAACTCGCATTAAGAAAACCAACAGTAAGAGAATATCACTCTTGGATAAAAAAAAAAAAAAATCCCCATGGCTACCAATCCAAAAGACCTCAATAGCAGGATAGAGTCACTCATGGATATGTCAGTGAAAATAAGTAGGTCTTCAGTACTGTTCTGAAGAGTTGTAGTAGCACTACACTTCAGTTACATGATCCAAATGAAGACAATCCTTTAAACTCCTATTGAATTTAATTGGTTTTAGACACTGAGCTGTTCCCTCTCAGTGTGGATATGTCTTGGTATTACTGACTGTTACTATGACGCTCGTCAGACTAATTTAACTCCATGGACAATAGCCATTGATTTCACCGGATCTATTCTCCCCATCCCCCAACTTTTATAGGTTTTATTTATTTTTTCCAAGAAAAATAAGACAAAAACAAAAACAAAACTCCAGGCTCCTAGGGGAGTCCATTTATTTTTATTTATTTTTAGTATCAACTACAAACAGACCATGGATCTTTATTAAATTTTTCCATTTTAACAATTCAATCAAATCACATTAAATATTCCAAATTATAAAAATACATATCGTATAGTCCAAATATTCCGCCATATTATAATTTTTTATTGGGGCTTCCCATGCTTCAAGTTCGGTGGGGCTCTGATCATCTTATATCTCTACTGCCTTGAGTTTCCAATAGTTCCTTTAATTCTTCCTGTTGTTACTTTTCCTTCGTTCATGGCCTCTGAGTTGTTTCCACAGGCAAGTTGAAGTAAGCAATGATATGCTTCTGTGTGAAATTTGTCTGCTTGACTCTCCGCCTATTGTTTGCTATATATCCTCACATGCTGGTGTTTATGCCGAATTAATCCAAAAGTCCTTTGCAGCTGGCAGATGCCATCTTCTCTCAGTTCCGAAAAAATCAAATCAAATCAAATCTAGGCATTTGCTCATTAATTTTCCCAGACCGGCTGCATCGAACATTAGCCTTTCCAGAGGAGATTTGCCAAATCAGACTTGAAGTGCATATATAATAACAAATTAAGAGCTCACCTCCCCCTATGACTATTTATCTCTGCAGCTCGGCCTTATTCTATAATAGCGGATCCCAATTAAAGAATGCGTCACATCACCCTTCTCAGAATCCGTCCAAAGATTTTTGAAGTCTCTCCAGCGGCTAGCGAGATCCTGCTTCTTTCTAATATCAATATTTTGAGAGTCTTTTATCGTCTTCCAAGCGTTTCAAGAAACAGAAGCTTTAGTTATATAGTTTTGTTATTTTCACACAGTTTATATTTTCCCATCTCGCTTGCTATAAGTAATGTAAACGGTTCTTCGGGGGGGGGGGGGTTTCCAAACAGACCATGGATCAATCAGTACCCCCTCCCTGCCTTCCTTGCAACAATCTGAACAAATGCCTTTTGGGGTGGGGGTGAGAAGGCAAAAGATGCTTTGGCAGATGGTACCAGCACAGGAATGTGTGTGTAGAATTCATCCATCTAAGAAAGTGGGGTGGAAGGTCGACATGTGTCTAAAAAATGGGAGATTGGAACACTGTGCATCTAAGAAATCCAACATTTGAACCTAAAGGCAAGTCACTGGATCTATTCTGAGCAGCGCTTGGTTGGCTATCACCCTAATTCTGTTGAAATTTGTAATAGGAATAAATTCCTGCGCTGCGACTTGTGGATATCCTTATTCGTACATCTTGCAAGTATTAATCAGACTAGCTAGAATAGGGATGGGGAACCCAACAACCCCCCTCCCCCCCAGTTTGTTGGACGCCATGTTTCATTGGCCTAGCCAACATGGTCAGGAGTGAGGAATTATGGGAGCTCTAGTCCAAAGACCACCTGTTCCCCCACCTCAGTCTAGAAGACCCTGATAAAAGTATGTGCATATGCCTCTTTAATATTAGTATTTGCATTTTTGTTTTTGCTCGTAGGCCATGTAGAAGGTTGCTGGAGCTCCAGCCCGTGAGGTGGGCCCTTCCTCTCTAATCTTAGATGTGTTGGGGTTGGTTGTACTCACTTTATAGCTGCAGGGGGAGAACTTGGCACATGCCCAGGAACAAGACAGACCTCTGGTACTGAAAAGGTGTTGTAGCACTGGGTCTGGGGATAAATTAAGCCATGAATGGTGTTTTTATAAACAAAAAACAAAAAAAAACCCAAAGAAAATGCTGAACTCAACTTGTAATTTTGAAAGAGAGCAAATTCTGCATTACCAGATGATATCACAGGAAACATATTTACTAGGCAGGTCTTTCCAGACCTGTGAGGACACCAGATGAAAAACGTGATTGGTTTGAGCAAGGGCATAGGCACATATTTAGGATTACAATTTTTCATTTTTTCATTTTTATTTCGATGTATCAGGCTTCCTTTCATCAAGCAACTATAGCAAGCAGTGCCACTAATGGGATTCCAGGAAACTGAATGCAAGTTAATGTAAAATTACTCAGTTTGCTTGTTTACAACTGGATTTATTGTCATGCCCACGGCTAATTTTTGTTACATTAAATGAGAAAGATACCATGGCATTGATGGAAATTCTAACGATAGTCACTACCTCGGCTGGGAAGCCTCAAGTTGTTAGTAAGCCCATCAGGATTTATAAACTGAAATACAATGTTTTCTTTTAAAAACGCATGCACACAATAGGCTATATGCCTCACTTTTACAAGTAGTGACTTTAATTAATGCATTTAAATAATGCATTTGGAATAATGTATTGGAACTATCTGTATACTGAACAGCTGCCATGATGCATTCCCTGAAGAAGTGGGAAATTAAGTATTGTGGGCACATGTGTATGTAGCTGAAATGTCACACACACACACACATACATTGGCTTGATATATTGAAAAATGACTAAGAATTTGCTGTTTTTTCATGACACCTGAATAGCCACCTCTGTCTGTCCGATAGTAGGGCCAGGACTGTCACCTTACAGGCCCACTGCTGCAAATATATGCACACACACACACACACACACACCACTGGTGGCACTGTGGTCTAAACCACTGAGCCTCCTGTGCTTGCCGATCGGAAGGTCAGCAGTTCGAATCCGTGCGACGGGGTGAGCTCCCGTTGCTCTGTCCCAGATCCTGACAACCTAGCAGTTCAAAAGCATACCAGCGCAAGTAGATAAATAGGTACTGCTGCGGCGGGAAGGTAAACGGCGTTTCCATGAGCTCTGGTTTCCGTCACAGTGTTCCATTGCACCAGAAGCGGTTTAGTCATGCTGGCCACATGACCTGGAAAGCGAGAAGAGCGCTGAAACCCCATAGTCACTTTTGACTGGACTTAACCGTCCAGGGGTCTTTAAACAATTTTTACACACACACACACACACACACACACACACACACACACAATTTCATAATTTACTCCTTCCCTTTGTTCTGGTTTTCCCCCCCTCAAGTGGGTTTTTCCTGTCTTTTATTCCAGTGATGAGCTCTTTAGGACCTGGGATCATGCCTCTTTTAAATTAAATGTCTCTGGCCTCCCCTGAGCTGTTCGGAAAAGGCTTTCAAGAAGACTGCACCCACGGTAAGTGGCATGCAAAGTGGATCTGTCTCTTGGTGCCTTTTTAAGATACAAAAAAACAAGACGCCATTAGACATCAAACTTCCCACTTAACAGAGAAGTCTCCTGACAACTCTGTTTCAGATACCTGATGAATTAAAAGCTATGTCTTTAAAAGCTGCACAAATTCTTGGTATCCTTGAGCGGTTCAGCAAGGTTGGTGCACCAGAGACTGAAATAGATGATTACAGCCTTGAGGCCTTGCCACAAATTGAATAGAAAGTATTGCATTTTATTGTAATCTCTCTCTAGTCTTTCTTGGATTTGAAGCCCGTTGACCTTTCTTCTGCACATCTTTTTTATTTTATTTTTAAGAATACTGAAATAATATAATTCACAATTGCTGAGCTGATAGAGTCTGGGCTGGCTTTGATGGGCATCAGGGTGAAGCTGCCTCCCTCGGGAGGGGGGCACTGTGAATTAGGCATATATGAAGGTAGAAGAGAGAGGTTTGGAAGAGTCTTACTCTTTTGTTGCAGAGTTAGCACAATGACAATCCCTCTGAGCACATTTGCTTTGCAAATCACTGAAGATTTTACTCACAGTTTCAGAAGTTACCGCAAATAAGTCTTCATCCGTAGGCAGAAAAATAAAGAGGGAAAGTGTTCCAAAAGAAAGAACTTGGTTTCCTTACAAAAGAATCATGCAATCTTAAAATGCAGGCAGCAAAAATATCTTTTAAGAGAGATTTTTCATTCATGCAATTTTCCTTGCAGCTGGCAGCTCCAGCTACTTTGAGGAAGGGCCGAGAGAGGGAGGGAAGGAGGAAGTAAAGGCTAGTCTAAGCCACCCATGGCAACTTGAGCTCAGGGCTCAGGTTAACCCTTCCATGCACACAATTGTGAGTCAGTAACTGTATGCTGCAACAGGAATTTGTATCTGAATGCTACAGCAAACATGTTGGACCTAGCAGGATGTGTGTAGCTTTTGGCATCAGCTTCAGGTGGAAAAATGGTTGGGGCGGGCACTGGAAGGAGAATGAGAAATGCTGGATTTTTCTTTTAATGGCTAGCCCTATTGATGTGGTCAGAGAATGGTGGCCAGATAATAGTTGTATGGGGTGAACCAGTTCTAGGTGAGACCAGCAGGAAAAGGAAGCTATGGAGTATTTGACTAGTTTCCGTTTTGTATATAGCTTTGGAGCAGCACACTACTAAGTAAAGTTTATTACTTTTAATTCAGTCTCTGTGGACCATTTGTAATCTTGCAAATACTACATGGTGTGAAAAGACAAAATGAAAATAAGGCAGTGAAAAATGGGCCAGCTGAAGCCTCTAATAAAGCTGCTATTTGAAGAAAATGCTGCAGAGAACTGGAGAATCTGGAAGCAAGGGTTTGAATTTTGCAGCATTGTAAGTAGAGCAGATAGGGACGCAGGTGGCACTGTGGGTTAAACCACAGAGCCTAGGACTTGCTGGTCAGAAGGTCAGCAGTTCGAATCCCCACAACGGGGTGAGCTCCCATTGCTCGGTCCCTGCTCCTGCCAACCTAGCAGTTCGAAAGCATGTCTAAGTGCAAGTAGATAAATAGGTACTGCTGTGGCGGGAAGGTAAACAGCGTTTCTGTGCGCTGTTCTGGTTCACCAGAAGTGGCTTGGTCATGCTGGCCACATGACCCAGAAGCTGTACCCCGGCTCCCTTGGCCAGTAAATAATAATAATAATTTTTATTTATACCCCGCCCTCTCTAGCCAAGGCCGGGCTCAGGGCAGCTAACAAGCAATAATAAAAACAAGTTGAATGAATACAACTTAAAAACAAGATTAAAATACAACATTAAAATATTGAAACATTAAATAATTTAAATGCAGCCTCATCACAGGAGGAGAAAGGAAAAAGAAAGAGGGGGAGGGAAAAGTGAGTAAAAGCGAGATGAGCGCCGCAACCCCAGAGTTGGTCATGACTGGACCTAATGGTCAGGGTTCCCTTTACCCTTTACCTTAAGTAGAGCAGATAGGAAAAGAGAGACTCTAGTCATTTCTGCATGTGGCAGATGAAGAAGCAAGAGATGTATGTAATGATTTCCAGTTTGGTGATGAAGAAAATAAGTAAAAAAATCCAGTTTTTATTAATACACTTGAAGTATGTTAGAAGAGTTACTTATGAAAGGTACAAATGCTTCATCGGTATTCAGATCAGATCAGCCAAGCAGTCAGTTCCCAAGACTAATGTATGAATTCATTAAACCAGGGCCTGTACTCACCTCTCACTGAACTGGCGAACCTGTGTCAGGGCAGTATCACTACAGAATGCAAATACTACTCTCCAACAAAAAGATTTCCTTGCACCTAGAAAGCTAGCATGTTGGAGACAGAATTGGGCTCAGTTCAAAAACTGCTGTTGTTATCTTGTTCCCAAGCTGCCTCGGTTGACTCAAGGACTGCCTGCTCTTATTGAGGGATGTTGTGTTAGAAAAAAGAGTCATTCTGGCTAAGCAAAGAGGAAAAATTAGTGAAGTGTAAAAAGCTAAACAGCATCTTAAAAAGCAGAGACATCACCTTGCCAACAAAGGTCCGTATAGTTAAAGCTATGGTTTTCCCAGTAGTGATGTATGGAAGTGAGAGCTGGACCACAAAGAAGGCTAATAGCCGAAGAATTGATGCTTTTGAATTATGGTGCTGGAGGAGACTCTTGAGAGTCCCATGGACTGCAAGAAGATCAAACCTATCCATTCTTAAGGAAATCAGCCCTGAGCGTTCACTGGAAGGACAGATCCTGAAGCTGAGACTCCAATACTTTGGCCACGTCATGAGAAGAGAAGACTCCCTGGAAAACACCCTGATGTTGGGAAAGAATGAGGGCACAAGGAGAAGGGGACGACAGAGGACGAGATGTTTGGACAGTGTTCTCGAAGCTACCAGCATGAGTTTGACCAAACTGCGGGAGGCAGTGGAAGACAGGAGTGCCTGGCGTGCTCTGGTCCATGGGGTCACGAAGAGTCGGACATGACTAAATGACTAAACAACAACAACAAAAAGCTAAGTACCCCAGGCTAATCCATCTCTGAGCACCTTGTCTGAGACAGCAATAGGGAACTCTTTTCACCACAGAGTAACAGATGGAGTTTGTGGTTAGGGAGGTGGCAAAAGTCAAAGCTTCAAAGGTGAGGGTCAGCAGGAAAAAAATAGTCCTGCTAACCACAAATAGAAGACGGCAGGATATCAGAAAGGGCTTAGAGGCAACAGGAAGGGGAGGTGGAAACCCCTTCCCACAAATGCCTAGTTTAGGTTGCTTATCAAAGGTCATGATTAGCGTTGGCAACTGCGCAAAGGTGCTATAAGCTGGGAGGAAACAAGGCATCAATGTGAAATTATAAAGGCTTATGTGCAACCTGTAGGGAAGCAGGTGGCGCTGTGGGTTAAACCACAGAGCCTAGGACTTGCCGATCAGAAGGTCGGCGGTTCGAATCCCTGCAACGAGGTCAGCTCCCATTGCTCAGTCTCTTCTCCTGCCAACCTAGCAGTTCAAAAGCACATCAAAGTGCAAGTAGATAAAGAGGTACCGCTCCGGCGGGAAGGTAAACGGTGTTTCTGTGCACTGCTCTGGTTCGCCATAAGCGGCTTAGTCATGCTGGCCACATGACCCGGAAGCTGTACCCTGGCTCCCTTGGCCAATAAAGCGAGATGAGCGCTGCAACCCCAGAGTCGGTCACGACTGGACCTAATGGTCAGGGGTCCCTTTACCTTTATGTGTAACCTGTACAGGCAATCCTCATTTTGTGAGGGGGTTCCATTCATATCGGCAAAGCGCATGTATGCCCATTCTGCCCTGCCTCTGCCCTGCCCCTATTCATGATGCCTTGCTAATGTTTTGGGGCCACTGCTGAGTTTGGCTTCGTGCCTAAATCGGTTGTTGCCTGTAATGGGGTCTCTTGTCTGCACTACAAGGTGGACGAGGCACCATTCTTGTACAAGAAAAAAATCCTTTTTTGATTTGCTACCTGTTGCCTGGTCATTGGTTTTTTGCTAGACATCGAAGCTCAAACTGGCAAACTTCCACAACACTTCTAAGGTTAGAACTGGGCCTTTTCCATAGGCCTCTCCCCAGTTCCGTGCACCTTGCCATCCCCCTCTCTTAATTATTTTTTTTTAAATTAAGTTTTACATAACAATTCTAAATTCAGACAGATTGGAATTTTTACAGTGGTACCTCGGGTTAAGTACTTAATTCGTTCCGGAGGCCCGTTCTTAACCTGAAACTGTTCTTAATCTGAAGCACCACTTTAGCTAATGGGGCCTCCCGCTGCTGCTGCGCCGCTGGAGCACGATTTCTGTTCTCATCCTGAAGCAAAGTTCTTAACCTGAAGCACTAATTCTGGGTTAGTGGAGTCTGTAACCTGAAGCGTCTGTAACCTGAAGCGTATGTAACCCGAGGTACCACTGTATTATTATTATGATTTTCTTTATTTACAACATAGTCCATAACAAATCATACATGCAAACAAATCCACCACCAATTTTATTTTATTTTAAAATTCAGACAGATTATTCACCTCTTCATTTAGGATTCTCTGAATCCCTTGATTTCCCTCCACCCTTTCATGGTTACCATTATCAATCTTTTTCCCTATCTGTTTATCTTATTTTCTCTAATTTGTTAAAAGAATAATATTTCATTTTTCCATAGTTTTTCGTACATTACAAACATTACTCAAAGTTTTTAGTTCATTACAGCGTTCTCTTAAGTACATGGTAATTTTTTCCCATTCCTTCTTAAAATCCTTCTCTTCCTGGTTTCTGATTTTCCCAGTCAGTTTTGCCATTTTGGCATGGCCCATCATTTTCACCAGCCATTCCTCTCTGGTTGGAACTTAGTCTTTTTTCCATCTCTGAGCCAGTGGTATCCCCACTGCTGTCATTGCGTACATGAATAGTCGTTTCTGCTCCCTCTGAATCTCTGTACCTAAAATGCCTAACAAAAAAAACCTCTGTTTCGCCCCAAAGGTTATTCTAAACATTTTTTTCAACTTATTGTAAATCATTTCCCAGCATGCTTTAGTTATCTTGCATGTCCACCACATATGGTAGAATGTGCCTTCTTTCTCCTTACATTTCCTGCAAACATTGGAAGCAGTTCTATACATTTTTGCTAGTTTTACAGGTGTTCAATACCACTGACATATCATTTTCATATACCGTATTTTTTGCACCATAACACTCACTTTTTTCCTCCTAGAAAGTAAGGGGAAATGTCTGTGTGTGTTATGGAGGGAATGCCTACGGGTGGCATGCCTACGGATTTTCCTCCTCTAAAAACTACGTGCGTGTTATGGTCGGGTGTGTGTTATAGAGCGAAAAATACGGTAGTTTTCCTTCAATGTACAGCACGCTGTAAATTTTAAGTCCATAATTTCCCCCAAGATGAAAATTGAATATTGTGCCCAATGTCTTGTATCCAGTTTATCATTACTGATTTAACTTCTTCGTCCTTAATATGCCACTCTAGAAACAATTTATACATTTTAGAAAGTAACTTCACATTATTTTCCAATAATCCCTTTTCAAATCATGAAATTTCTATGCTAAATCCATTTTTTCTTATCTATTTTAAACAAACCATTTACCTTGCACCTCTCTTTATGTGTTCTAGCAACCAGGAGTTTTATCCAGGCCTTTAAAATTCCGAATATTATGGTTTTATTTTGAAGCTGCTTTAAAGTAGATTCGGTTTTATGCTCCTACTAAAAAGCTTTTGCATGTTCTCATTTTATTATTAATTTTTAAAATGTTTATTTTTTATTGTTAAAATTATAAAAGCCATCTTGAAATAATGTTATGGATAAGGTGGGATACAAATATGTTAAATATCACTAAAGTACTTTGGATCCTTTTCTAATTATTGTTTTGTTTTATTTTAAAATGAAGGGTGTTGTAGGATGTATGGGGTTGTGGAACTTGGCTGTGCTTTGATCCAAAATCTGGGCACCAGTTGGTACCTATTAAATAATGGATATTATTCCACTCATTACACTTTATTCATAGAGAAACAATCCAAACCATTTCACAGGAAAGAATTTTTAGGCTAGTCATACTGCCAGCTATGAACAACAGTCCAATTTACTCAGCTCCTTCTTTACTGCTTATAAGAAACAGTAGAAATGTTCATTGTGCGTATTCAAATTAGTTTTTAGCTTTGCCAAATCCAAATTATAATGTAAATGATTGACCTATTCAAATATTCATAGTTGTCTATTTGCACATCATTATCATTAGTTGCTGTCTTCCCTGATTAAATCTTAGCCTGAGCTTTGTACGTGAATATGAATCCGTTTCATGTGTATTGTATCAGTTTCTTTCACTCCAGATGATGTCTTCGTTAGACTGGATGCAAAGCTGTGTCCTTATTCAAAATGGTAGCCTCTCTCGTGACTGTGGTTTCGTTGCATCTGCAAAATTCAAAGTAGGAGAAGGATTTGAATTAGGAACTACGAATCAGGAATAAGCCACAAGCTTATGGTGAACAAGCGCTATGCTGCTTTTTTTTTTTTTTTTGGCGACTGACTTGCAGGGGTTAAATAAAACAGCTTCTCTAAGGTAGTATTGTATATGGGTAGGCTGGGGGCCATAACTCTGTTGGCAGATAATTGGATACAACTCTGTGTCTAAGATGGTGACTAAAATACAATCGGGTGATATAGTATCACTATAATCTAATTAATTCAATTGCACCCAATTGCACTGCATAATTCTATATATATAGATAAAGGTAGGAATTGCTGAAGAGAGAGGTTTGGAAGAGTCTCTTTTGTAGCAGAGTTGGCACAATGGCAATCACTCTGAATGCATTAAAACTTGGTTAGATTTAAATATTCCCTCATCCACCTTTATACAAACGTTCCCAACAAAAATACCTAGGCTAGAATAAATCAAAGTCACTTTGCTTTGCAAATCAGTGAAGATTTTACTCACAGTTAACATGCACAATATGACTTTTTTCACTGCCATTTATTTAGCATATTTGTTACCCATAGTCTTGGAACAGAGAACCTCAGTCCCAAGGACCTAATGTAGTTTCTCTGTCTCGCTCCTCAGACTCTTCCCCAACCCGAATCCCACACTGACCTTGCTCTGCACCTTCCTCGATGGCTCTTGCGTGGCTGTGATGTGTTTTTGTACTGTGATCATGTCTCTTGCTTGCTTGGATGTTATTTGTTGGTATCTGTCTGTCTTGAGAGACAATGGAGTGCGCATCCAGGGCTGAAGTCAAACTAGCAGCACTGAAGTGACCTGGATGGAGAGAGCTGCATTCATGTGGGGAGTGGAGTGCAGTGAGCGAAGCTAGGATGCAGCCTACTGTACAAGGGTGAGAGTCCCATCTACAGCATCGCACATGTCACACCTAACCGCTCTAGAGATCGGCAAATCTCACAATTGGGTTTCCCTCTGTTTCAATTTATTTTAATATTTATGTTCTCTACTGTTTCTGATGGTCTTCCTGACAGTCTGCATTTCAGTGCAAATTTCTCTTAACATACACCATTGTTTATGCAATTCCCCCAATATAGACATTCTGCAATGCAATTTGCCCTAATGCAATGCATTTCTTTATGGTACTTTCACTAATATCTACATTTATTAATAATTTGATTTACATCCTATGCCCTTTTAAAATGTGTGTGTGTGTGTGTGTGTGTGTGTGTGTGTTTGGGAGGCTATTCGGTTGTTTTTTTTATTTTTATTAGATATTTTTTGGGTTTATATCTTGATTTTTATTCTGTGAACCGCCCTGTGACCCCTGTGTTTAGGGCAGTATATAAATAATAATAATAATAATAATAATAATAATAATAATAATAATAATTTGTGCACACACTCTATCTAACTCTATGCATATTTGTACACTTTCTTGGCTGCAGAAATGCATTGCAAAATTCAGAGCAGTGTCTGATGATAGATTGGGCAAGAGATGTTGGACATAACATAATGTCTGAAGACTGGGAAAGGTTGTGGAGGAAAGGGGTCAAGTTCACTGCATGTATGGTGTTAAAGGAAAATGTTATGAAAATGATGTATAGATAGTACTTAACCCCTGTAAAACTAGCAAAGATCTACCACAAGAGTGCTAACCTATGTTGGAAATGTAAAGAAAAAGAAGGTACCTTTTACCATATGTGGTGGACGTGTCCCAAGATGAAAGACTTCTGGGAAAAGATTTATAATGAATTGGAAAAAAAATGTTGAAATATACATTTTCTAAGAAACCAGAAGCCTTTCTACTTGGAATAATAGGTTTGGAATTGCCCAAGAAAGATGTTAGATTGTTTCTGTATGCCACAACTGCAGCTAGAATTTTGTTGGCCCAAAATTGGAAACTATATGTGATGTTGTAGAATACTATGTTAAAATTTAAAATGAAAAGAAAGAAAGATGCAAAGTAAATTTTATATGAAAATAGTTTTGGAAAACTGCTACAATGATTTATATGGAAACTCAGCTAGGGGGATTCAAAGGAGTCACTCAATAATGTTAACAAAAGTGGAACTATTATAGTAAGGATAAATGTCTGTCTGTCTGTTTGTTTGTTTTTGATGTTTTTTGTTTGTTATAAATTTGGAAAACCAATAATTTTTTTTTTGGGGGGGGGAGATAATAATTCAGAGCAGTGTGAATTTTGAAGGGAAACCATTTTTTGTTTTGTTCTGGAAAGTGTGGAGCAAGTACCTGACAGATTAGCGCTTAAGAGTCAAACCATCTTAAAGATACAGTAGCATATATCAGCATGGGATGGGTGCACAGAGGGGCTGCAGAACAGGAGAGAGAAGGAGGCATGGAAATGTGGGTGGTGGTCTGTGTGCAAGGGCCAGTTTAAAAAAGGTGGAAGGGGGAGGCAGGGTGAAGGTGACAATGGTGTTTGTGAACATAGGGGGCTGCACAATAGGAAAGAGGGCAAGGCATGTAAAATGGGGTGATCTGTGTGCAAGGGAGAGTTGAGAAAAGTAAGGAGGTAGATGGAACAGAAAAGGCGTGCAAAGGAATATATGCTGCCACTGCTGTTTGGATGTTATTAGCCCAGAAATGGAAAGAAGGCAAAGTCCCTACTAGAGAAGAGTAGCTGATTAAGTTGATGGACTGTGTCGAATTGGAAAAAATGACCGGAAGAATCAGAAACCAAGAAGACAAAATTTTTAATAAGGAATGGGGGAAATATATAATTTACCTTTAAAATCATTGTAAACATTTATTAGTAGGAATAACGCTTGTATCCTAATGTTGAATTAGGGGTATAATGGAGATTTAAAAGATTTGAATTTATTTATTTTTACAATAATTTTTATTCATCTTCAATTACAATAATCCAATGGTAGCCTCATTATAACAATGCCAAATTACAATACAATTACTAATCTCAGTCATTCAGATGCCAAATGATATAGTTTAGGTGGTCTCCCGTGTGTTAGAATTGATGGTTTGATGCTTTACTTTGTTTCTGCGTTCCAATATCTTATCCCTCTCAATTGCATTCCATTCTAAATAACCATCCCTTATATAAAAATTGCAATATTAACGACATCCATTGATCTTGACACATTAAATGATTGATAAACCCATAGGTGAAGCATTCAAATTATATCCTTATTCCTTCTCTGTGTGACAACTATTCTGTCCGTGGTGTTCCTTTCTGTCCTTGTAAAATATTATATCTATCCTTTCCCAACTGATGCTTCCATCATGCCTTGGGCAGAGCTAATATCCCATTGTTGTTTCAAAAGTTCTCCATTGCACTGTCATGTGGTTCATTATTTTAAGATTTTGATTAATAGAGAAGATGCAGGAGGAAAACGTCAATATAAGGACCCACAAAGCACAACCAAACTTTTGTGTTTGATCCCTGTTTGGAAGAATGGCAGATGAAGGTGATTGACTACATGGAATTGGCAGAAATGACTGGCAGAATCCGAGACCAGGGAGAAGAGTCGGTGAAAGAAGACTGGAAGAAATTTAAAGACTATTTACAGAAATATTGTAAAATTAAGGAATCTTAGAAGGATGTTGGATAGAAACTAAGTGGTTTCCAGCTGTAATGCTTTAAGAGACACGAAAAACGGTTTACAAATGGGTAAAAGCTTAATGGTAAGGATTTGCTGAACTAACAAACTGAACTGGAATACAAAAAAGGGAGGTACGAGGAGGTCCGGGGAAATAAGTGTAAGGAAGATATGCTATGGAAAACTAACGTGTTTTTAACTGTTTTTATTTTGTATGTTTCTCTTTATTTTTCATTTTTTTTTTGTTATATCTTAAAAACTGTATTCTTTTTTCTGTATTTTGTATTTTCTTGTATTTTTATTTTTTGTTTTTGTATTCTTTGAAACTTTAATAAATATCATTTAAAAAAAAATGATCCCTGTTTGTGTAAATATTTATTTAAGCATTCCCATTATTTCTGTACCATAGTTTTAGATTTATGCCTTATTGGCAAGAATGGCAAGCAAAATTTATGGAGTAGGCTGAAATGGCAAAACGTACCGGGAAACTCAGAGACAAGGACAATAGAGACTTTAAAAAAGACTGGGAACCATTTATGATGTATTTACAGAAATATTGTAAAGAAGTGGACTCACTAGCAGGGTTTGAGTAAACACAATTAAGAAAACAAGGGTCAAAGTCAAGGAGCAATAACTGGGAGAATAACAAAGTGTAAGATGTAATTTGAAAAGATAGAGTATAAAAATGATATGAATATAAGAATATTTAGTTCAAAGGTTTCAAAATTAAAGTAAAATGAAATAAGCAGGAGAAGCAAATGTTTAAAGAACCAGAAGAGGAGGTTGAGGGAAGTCAGAGGAGGGAGATTTAGATTTGCATATTTTTCTTGTGTGGCGATGATGATTGTGTTGAATGTAAAATTGTAAAATTTAATAAAATCTATTAAAAAAAGGAAAAAAAATGGTTAATTTGGGGTGAATGGCAAGGGGGGTTGTGAGTGGAGCAAGCAGATGTGCAGCCCCTAGTCAACATATGCTTTTCACTGAGTTTATGTGATGCTTATTTATCCGGGTTTCAGAAAAGAGCCACAGAACTGGAAATCAACTTTGCTTCTGCTAAAAGGCTGCGCTGCAATTCAGCCATATCTGCCGCAAATCTCTGGCTGCAGCATAATCCGTATCTTTGCCTGTTGATCCTTCAGAATAAGATAATAAGAATGGGAAGCCACTGAGACAGATCAGAGACTGTATGATTAATAGGAAACAAAACCTAGGAGCTTCTTTCATTTACAGTCCTGGAAACACATCCTTGTTTTAAACAAGCAAGCCCACGGTCTAATTGGATTGATGACTTCTGGCATTTGCATATATGTGTGTACATGCTGCAGGAGCTGTCGTAGTTTTGCTAATTGCAGACAGAAAAAGGAGAGCCCTAAGTTAGGAAGAGGAGGGAAGACCAATTAGTCCTCCAAAATTATTGGCTTCAAAGGAATTAAGAGAAGAAAGCCATTCCAAAGCAATCTAATAGGCTTGCCTAGTTTTTGCTTTGGCTCTTATATTCCAAGTTACTCCTACACATTAAAGTATTTATCACGGCACTAGAATGCTGCATTAGGAAGGATGAAGAACATCATAACACGAAATCCCTTGCTCAGAGCTAAATTAAGTTTAAAAACGGGAATGAGGAGCTGGCTTTCCTTCATCAAACCTGAAGGCAAAGATCTCTTCAGCAACAGAATCTAAAGCTGTAAGTTTAGTCCTGAGAAACAAGGTATCTGAAACATGATCCAATGTTATATAAGATCATATTGTACTAACTACACCATATTAGCAGAACTTGAGTGATACTTGTAAACACAACAAATACCGTTTGTGGAGTAGACGGGAACAATATTAAAGAATATAAAACCGTGCGAAAAAAACAGTGACAGTATAAACAGTACAATGAGAATGATTGGAAGACTTGTTTTGTCAGAAGTCTTTTTTATTTAAGTGTTTAAGTATTAATTAGGAAGATTAATGTTTTTTTATGCACGTAAATCTGCTTTTTCTTCTTTCTTCTTTCTGTATTTTCTTCCTTTCTTTTTTCTTAATTGTTTTTTCTTTAATTTTCTTTTTGTAGTATGAGATTGTAAATTCTTTGTATATGTGTGTAATTTAAATTAATAAGGATTATTTAAAAGAAAGAAAGAAAGAAAGAAAGATGATCCAATGAGGTAGAGAGGATGAATTCATTTTCAGATTTTCCTGTTCTTGCTGGGGTTATACTCCTTCTGAAGGAGCAGGTACGTAGCTTGCGGGTTCTTCTGGGTCCATTGCCATCACCTGAAGTTCAGGGGCCACAACGGTGCAGAGTGTTCATTTAGACTTACTTTTTGTGCCACGTTTCTAAGCACAGGTCTGGGCTTCTAAGCTCCATGTCTGAGCAGCTCTTTTTCCCCATCCTGGCGCTTTCCCTGGGAAAACTCGCAAACGGCAACCAGAGCTTCAAAATGTGGGTGCGCACCTGGAAAGTGCAGAACAAAAGGTAGTCTAGATGAGCCCTGAAGTAAGGGACCAGCGTAGGAAACTCAGAAAATATGGGACCCAGCAGTCCTTCCCAAAGAGTAGAAAGTACCAAAACTATGACTACGTTTTGCCAACACAGCTACAAATTAACAAAATTAACACTTAAATTTCATTGCTAAGCCATCTTTAAAATACTGTGCAATTCAATAAAACAACTAACGTAATTTCTATTTACTTATTCTATCACCTCTTTAGTTCCTGCTCAGCCACTTGATTCTGTTGATTGTTTACAATGATCATTAGCCTGTATCTATAAATGTGCAGCACTTTGAACATCTCTTAGGAAGCAGGGACTCCTTATTCTTTGCCATTATACATTTTTAAAAGTGCTATATAAATGCTAAGAACTATTGGTTGAATGAACTGAGGCCTTGAGTTTAACTTGCCTGCTTGGCATTCTCTTTATAACATCATGATAAGCAGTAGATAAGGAGAGAGATCTTTACAATCTGTCTGGATTTGGTTGATGTAAAAAATATCTTTGTCAGGCTCTGCTCTTCAATGACCCTGCATAGTATTGCAAATCAGAGCTGTGGAACATGAATAGATTTGTTGGAATGAGTTTCTTTAACAAAGGCACATGGTTACATAAATGGCAAAATAAGCCCTGCAGGAACGCATAACGAATCTTTAGTTTTCTTTCCTGTGGATGCTTGCTAACGTTCTTGGAAGCAGCCACAGATGCAAAAGCATTTGGAAGAGAGAAAATGAAAGGACGAGAAGGAGCTTTCATAAAGGAAATGTTTGAGATGGTTGCTTAAAATTTCCAGGGGAGAGCGAGACTTTGTAGGCATCATATTCAGGTTGGTTCATGCATGCTGGGAATTGGGCAGGGGTGAGGAATCTGTACCCCTGTGGGTTTTGTTGGGCTCTACCTTCCATCAGGTCTGCAATAATTCATGCTGTTGTCTTTTAATAATAATAATAATAATAATAATAATAATAATAATAATAATAATAATAATAATTTATTTATTTGTTTGTTTGTTTGTTTATTATGCCCCACTCATCTGTCTGGGTTTCCCCAGCCACTCTGGGCGGCTTCCAACACAATATTAAAATACAGTAATGCATCAAACATTAAAAGCTTCCCTAAACAGGGCTGCCTTCAGATGTCGTCTAAAAGTCTGGTGGTTGTTGTTCTCTTTGACATCTGGTGGGAGGGCGTTCCACAGGGCAGGTGCCACTACCGAGAAGGCCCTCTGCCTGGTTCCCTGTAACCTCGCTTCTCGCAGGGAGGGAACTGCCAGAAGGCCCTCAGCACTGGACCTCAGTGTCCGGGCTGAATGATGGGGGTGGAGATGCTCCTTCAGATATACTGGACCGAGGCCATTTAGGGCTTTAAAGATCAGCACCAACACTTTGAATTGTGCTCTGAAATGTACTGGGAGCCAATGTAGATTTTTCAAGACCGGTGTTATGTGGTTTCGGCAGCCACTCCCAGTCACCAGTCTAGCTGCCGCATTCTGGATTAATTGCAGTTTCCAGGTTACCTTCAAAGGTAGCCCCACATAGAGCGCATTGCAGTAGTCCAAGTGGGTGATAACCAGAGCATGCACCACTCTGGCAAGACAGTCCATGGGCAGATAGGGTCTTTGCTCCAGCTGGCTGCTAGAAAACTTAAAACAGCAAATCAGTTCCTCCCTTTCTGTATTTTACACTTGAAAACTTTGTTATCTGAATCCTGAAAGTCACACCATTGTTCACTTTGAAAGCTTTTTTTATAATTTCTGTTACTTTGACCCATCCTCATTGTGAGATACACATAACTATAATTGAAGCAAGACCACCTCCATCTTTGTTATAACTGAAGCAAGATTAATGTCATCTTCTATGGAATGTTGGGATTAAGTTCACTGCATGTAGGGCTTTGAAAGAAAATATAACGAAAATGATGTACAGATGGTACTTAACCCCAACTAAATGAGCTAAAATGTATAGAATGAAAAATAGAAAATGTTGGAAATGTAATAAAAAAGAAGGAGATTTTTACTATATGTGGTGGACCTGTGATAAAGTTAAAGCATTTTGGGAGAATATATATCATGAGTTAAAGAAAATGTTACAATATACTTTCCCTAAGAAACCCGAAGCATTCATGTTGGGAATGGTAGGAGATGAAATACCTAGATCTGATCAGAAACTATTTATGTATGCCATTACGACAGAAGGACGTTAATTGCCCCAAAATGGAAACAACAAGAAATACCGACAATACAACATTGGCAGACGAAGATGATGGACTCTGTGGAACTGGCAAAGCTGATGGGGAAAATCCGACACCAGAGTGTGACCAAGTGTTCCAGAGAGATTGGAGTAAATTTATTTATTATATAGAAAATCAGTGTATACAATTAAAAACGCTAGCAGGATTGAGATAAAGCTTGCAATGTTTACAAGAAGAATTTTTCTACCTGTATTTTAAAAATTTGAATAATTTAGAAAAATGTAGAATTGTGATGATATAGATGTGTGGATTTAAGATAAGTCTTAGAAAACCAGAAGATGGGTGGAGGGAAGTGGATAGCTCAGCAGAGCTAATAAATATGTTATAAGATATTGTATTATTGTTAAAAATTTGGAAATCTCTCTCTCTCTATGCCATCTTGTTGCAGGCTGATGTCATAATCGTATATTCTCATCATGCTGAAATGCAAGCTTCAGAAAGGGGAAAGGGAAAGGGGAAGCACAAAAGGGAAAGTTGCAAGGGCATGACCTTTAGAACGAGGATATAAAAAGGATGGGGGGGAGGGAGAGATGAAATAGACAATGCCACCATTTCCTCCTTGATGTAAAAATTGTATCAGAACATTCAAGGAATGTGAAAGCTGGTGGATGAGCAGAATTCAATATGCACATCAGTTGATGCCGTGCAGACTGGGTCAATTGGTATTAGGATTTGCAAATACCAAATTCCTAAAGTGCCTCTAACTTTCAACGCGCTTGGCACTCTTAGGATACCTGCTGACCCCCTCCTCAGATTTCTTTGACTATCAGAGCTTTGGCTGGTTGTGACAATGAGTTGGGCATTTTTAGCTACAGCTCCACATTCTCACCACAGCCCTATCGAGGGAGGAAGGCGTCTTTAAAGTTATTTAAGCTCACTTTGCTTCAACAATTTCACTTTCAAAACTAGCATTCTAATGCGCACCTTCAGCTAAACGTCCCATTTGTCCTGTTCCTCACTCTGCAGTCCTGCATGAAGGCTCTGAACAGCTTCCTCTTTCAAAAGGGATTTCTGTCGGCTGGATGAGCTTTTATCATCTTTAAGGGCAATTTCTTGCACAGTATCTACCTGTCACCAGCAGTGTATGTTTAATGCTTACTGTTCCAAAATTGCTTTTGATTTCTACAGGTTTTTTTAAATGATTTTGAACAACCTGAGGGAACCAACCTTTGGATCCAGAACCAAATGAAAAATAATTTTTAAACTTATGTATTCACAATATCTATACAGTCATACCTCGGGTTACAGATGTTTTGGGTTGCGTGATTTCGGGTTGTGCACCGCGCTGAACCCGGAAGTACCAGAACAGGTTACTTCCAGGTTCCGGCGCTTGCGCATGTGCAGAAGTGCTAAATCGCGCTTTGCGCATGTGCAGAAGCACCGGATCACAACCCGCGCATGCGCAGATGCGGCGCTGTGGGTTGCGAATGCTGCAGGTTGTGAACGTGCTTCCCACACGGATCACATTTGCAACCTGAGCGTCCACTGTATAAGGACAACAATTCCCCCACTTTCTGCTATCAAGGTTGTGTCATCTGCATATATGAGGTTGTTGATATTTCTTCTGGCAATCTTAATTCTGGCTTGGGATTCATCCAGTTCAGCCTTTTGCATGATGAATTCTGGGAGTTCTCGGTCCACTTACTGCTTAACCCTGCCTTGTAAAATATCAAGCATAAATTTGCTAGCGTGTGAAATGAGCGCAATTGTGCGGTAGTTGGAGCATTCTTTGGCACTGCCCTTCTTTGGGATTGGGATGTAGACTGATCTTCTCCAATCCTCTGGCCACTGCTGAGTTTTCCAAACTTGCTGGCATATTGAGTGTAGCACCTTAACAGCATCATCTTTTAAAATTTTAAATAGTTCAGCTGGAATATCATCACTGCCACTGGCCTTGTTATTAGCAGTGCCCATTTGACTTCAGGATGTCTGACTCAAGTTCAGCAACCACACTACCTGGGGTGTACGAGACATCCATATCTTTCTGGTATAATTCCTCTGTGTATTCTTACCACCTCTTCTTGATGTCTTCTGCTTCTGTTAGGTCCTTTCCACTTTTGTCCTTTATTATGGTAATCTTTGTACGAAATGTTCCTTTCATATCTCCAATTTTCTTGAACAGATCTCTGGTTTTTCCCATTCTGTTGTTTCCCTCTATTTCTTTGCATTGCTTGTTTAAGAAGGCCCTCTTGTCTCTCCTTGCTATTTTTTGGAAATCTGCTTTCAATTTCCTGTATCTTTCACTTTCTCCCTCAAATTTTGCTTGCCTTCATGGATCACTGCCTTGTCATGGCAAAGGGGCCTGAATAACTCAGAGAAGCTATGAGCTATGCCATGCAGGGCCACCCAAGATGGACAGGTCACAGTGGAGAGTTTTGACTAAACGTGATCCACCTGCATCAGGAACTGGCAAGCCACTCCAGTATCCCTGCCAAGAAAACTCCATGGACAAAGTTGCATTTACATGCATTGAATATTTATGGTCTTTTGGCAGCATGCTTCTTTTCAGCCAGAGGGCAGTAGAATATAGATTATGCTGTGTCTCCCTTACATAGGAAATGGGATGTTTAGTTGATGGTGCATGTTAAAATGCTAATTTTTAAATTGAAATCATTGAAGCAAAGTGAACCTTAAATAACTTTAAAGAGGTGTTTCCCTCCCTAACATGATTTAATGTGTGATCAGTAATAGCAACATTAACCAAAGATGCATCAGAATCCCTCAGGAGACTTACACTTTATTAAATTGCATCCCCATTCAGCACATTTTGTGAGCCTTTGTTGCTACAAACACTTCAGGGGTAGATGGGATACTGCTGATTAAGATTTGCTCTGCAAAGTGCAAGGAGAAATGAGCTGTGTGGATTGACTGTCAGGCTACGAGAGTGAAGACCTTTAGTTTATTGCCAACAAAACAAAAAACATCCATGTGAGTTCTACCTTTTCATCCACAATAATAAACTAAAGTGGATCTCCTGAAGGTCCAGTTGCTGGAAATCACAAGCGAAGAGATCGTTGTTACTCCCAGGTCCTGCTTGCAGGCTTCTCATAGCCATTGGGAAGCCACCTATCAGAATGGGAATCTAGAAAAGATGGACCGTTGGCCTGATGCAACAGACTCTTCTTATGTGGAAATGCTCTTTGACTAAGTGGCTGTGTCTAATTTGTTGTTGTTTAGTCGTTTAGTCGTGTCCAACTCTTCGTGGACCCATGGACCAGAGCATGCCAGGCACTCCTGTCTTCCACTGCCTCCTGCAGTTTGGTCAAACTCATGCTGGTAGCTTCGAGAACACTGTCCAACCATCTCATCCTCTGTCGTCCCCTTCTCCTTGTGCCCTCCATCTTTTCCAACATCAGGGTCTTTTCCAGGGAGTCTTCTCTTCTCATGAGGTGGCCAAAGTATTGGAGTCTCAGCTTCAGGATCTGTCCTTCTAGTGAACACTCGGGGCTGATTTCCTTCAGAATGGAAAGGTTTGATCTTCTTGCAGTCCATGGGACTCTCAAGAGTCTCCTCCAGCACCATAATTCAAAAGCATCAATTCTTCGGCGATCAGCCTTCTTTATGGTCCAGCTCTCACTTCCATACATCACTACTGGGAAAACCATAGCTTTCACTATACGGACCTTTGTTGGCAAGGTGATGTCTCTGCTTTTTAAGATGTTGTCTAGGTTTGTCATTGCTTTTCTCTCAAGAAGCAGGTGTCTTTTAATTTTGTGGCTGCTGTCACCATCTGCAGTGATCATGGAGCCCAAGAAAGTAAAATCTCTCACTGCTTCCATTTCTTCCCCTTCTCTTTGCCAGGAGGTGGTGGGCCCAGTGGCCATGATCTTCGTTTTTTTGATGTTGAGCTTCAGACCATATTTTGCGCTCTCCTCTTTCACCCTCTTTAAAAGGTTCTTTAAGTCCTCCTCACTTTCTGCCATCAAGGTTGTGTCATCTGCTGTGTCTACTAGCCTAAAGCTATTCCTTACTTTCAAAAATTGGATCTTTGCAGAGCTTTCTAAATTTCTCCATCAGGCGCTAGAAGAAAATGGCTTTCAGAGTGGGCACATTCTATCTGGCCTGAGCTTGTAAACAATAATTATAATTTTTTTCTGTGCGTAGGTGTTCCTAAATACCTTAACTCTTAATGTCTGTGGCTGGCCCACCTTAGCAATACGTTTGATGACTTGCTCTTTGGGAGCCCTCTATCAGTGTTTGCCTGTGGCTGCAAATTTCGTTAATAAGTTATTGACAGTTTGTTTTGCCTTCTGGATCATGCTCTGCCTCTGTTGTAAATAATGTAGCATTAGGAATCAAGCTTCCCAATTCCAACTAGGCAAGAAGAGATATGCCGACCCCCAAAGCTTTAATGTGAAAAACAGGAAATCGATTCGTTGACATTTTCAATCTTCTGCATCTGCACAATCTATTAATAATGTTGCATTTGCAAAAGAGGATTCCTAACCTCCTCCCTCCCATTTTTATATAACACCATGCAGCAGCAGCACACAGTGGCTTGAGAGAGCATATGAGCATATTTTTGAAGAACTAACCATGCGTCAAAATCCAACTTGAAGCCTTATGTTTTCCATGCTCTTCTTCTAGTAGAAAGAGGGTCTTGGCAAACTTGGACTCGCAGCTGTCCATGGAGGCGCAGGTTAATTCTGTGTCCAGGGCGGCTATCTACCAGCTCCATCTGGTACGCAGGCTGAGACCCTACCTGCCTGCAGACTGCCTTGCCAGAGTGGTGCATGCTCTAGTTATCTCCCGCTTGGACTACTGCAATGCGTTCTATGTGGGGCTACCTTTGAAGGTGACCCGGAAACTGCAATTAATCCAGAATGCGGCAGCTAGACTGGTGACTGGGAGTGGCTGCCGGGACCACATAACACTGGTCCTGAGAGATCTGCATTGACTCCCAGTACATTTCCGAGCACAATTCAAAGTGTTGGTGCTGACCTTTAAAGCCCTAAACGGCCTCGGTCCTGTATACCTGAAGGAGCGTCTCCACCCCCATCATTCAGCCCGGACACTGAGATCCAGCGCCAAGGGCCTTCTGGAGGTCCCCTCATTGCGAGAAGTGAGGTTACAGGGAACAAGACAGAAG